TGTGTGTGTGTGTGTGTGTGTGTGTGTGTGTGTGTGTCACGATCTTTATTTCTACACCACGCCAGACGCCGGTGATCGAGCTTACAACGATCGCCTACGAGAGAGAAAGAGAGAGAGAGAGAGAGAGAGAGAGAGAGAGAGAGAGAGAGGAAGGGAGAGAGGGAGAAAGAGCTAGCGCGCGCCTATATGAATTATATGATTGCCGCATTTTCATGTTTTGCATGTATTAATGCTCTTATTTACGCGACAAGGGTATTCTATAATAGTACCGTAATTTCCAACAAATTATATGTATAAAACTAGATATGTACATAGACAATGTATTCTTTTACACATAAAGAAAGAAAGTTATTTCTGTATATATATTTATTACTAAACATTTTTGTTACATCACAAAACTAATTTACATTTTTCTTTAGATATAATGTAACGTGTTTTCATACTTCATATGATTCGCAATATTATTGGATTTGACTGGATTTAATGATTTCTGAAGTGACCATCCGCATTGACTCGTCGACATAGATAACAGCTCAGCCACTTTTTGAGCATTTTGTTTTCCTTCTAAGGACGATTTCTTAATCTATGATATAAAATAATCACTTATTATTATAATAATTATATCACATGTATACTTTAAAATTTCATTTTTATGATAGCAATATTTCAATAAAATTTAAGAAAGAAAAATATGAAGAGCTAGACAATTTATCTCTAAAAAATTAATGTAAATTATTTGTATATTCTTTTTAGAATTATATCATTCATTCAAACTTTAATCGTATAGTTTAATCAAATGTTATCGCTTTTGTTATCTTAAATCTAGAACATTTATTCTTATTCTTATTTTATATAGAAAATAAATATCTAAAAATAAATAACTAAAGAAACTCTTTTTTTTTTTCTATTTTCAATGCATATGCAAACCATGATTGTTTAATATTCACTAACTTCATCAAATTTTCTTCTGACTTTATATCCTCTGTACGTAGCTTGTATCATAGTGGCTGCTTCTTCTTCAGATTTGGCTGAATCAGAATGATCTTTCGTACATCTTGATTTGTTTATAACTTTTTGTTGTTCCTTTATGGGAAATATAACATTTTGTTCCCAGTATTTGCGGTTAGAAACATTCCTTTCTTGTCGGCTTTCATACGTCGATTTATCAGTAACCTATATATAGTCACATAATTATACATATAGGTATACATGCAATACATAATTTGGATAGATATATGTACAATAATAGAGTCATTTTGCTCATTTGCTTGTACATTTACTCATATATTTACAACAATTGATGATGTATAATATCCTTTTTCGTACTTTTCTATATATTTCTCTGCATATTATATACATCAAAAAGATATGTAATATGCATTTAAATTCTTCCCCATGACTCCATTTTTGTTACACGCGACAATAAAGTACAACATGTAAAATATTGGATATAATGAAAGAATAGAAATAAAACCTAAACCTTGAAATTAATCTTCAAATACTAGATATATCGCATTCAATGCACTTTTGATATATATTTAGTATATCATTGCCTTTTAAAGTTTTGAAATAAAAAATATTCAAATTTTTTCTTTTTTTAATTTCTCACATTTTTTTTTTCATTATTTCTTAATTTATAAGTATTTCTTATATTTTTGTAAGGTCAAAAAAAACATTTATACCATCGGGACCTCACGCTGATGATGTTCGTACATACATTTCGCATTCTTTAAAAAGTCCAAAGATTTTCGTGGTAATTCACCTGACTCGCAATATTTTGTATCATGAACAATATATTTATTGTTTCTATTTCCCTCGAACTGTGCTTTGTTCTACGAATAAAAACATAACATTATCCTAATGTCGATAAAAATATTTAATTATAAATTACTATAATTATTAATGAATCCTTAATTTTATATAAAAATATCTGTTAAATAATCTTATTACATATATAAATTAATTTGTAAAATTACAATCGGTACTCGTAATTATCAAAATCAGTTTATATGTAAAACAATACAGCGTAATATATATGATAAAAGGAATAATGTAAAAATAAAGTTAACAAATATCTTTATTTATGATAAAATTCTCTTTGTCTTTATAACTTAAAATTAAACTGTCGTATTAAAGCTTACTCACCGCTCTTATATTATTATTTCTACCCATATTACTAAGACAATCAGTTAACATTTTAGGTGACATGACCATGCTCGATGAAGTTGCGTTTTTTGATACATATTTTTTTGGTTCTCTAGTTTGCATTGTGTATTGCTCTAAAAATAAGCATAAACATAGAATAAATATATCTTAATAAAAATAGTATTATAATCTAAATTGCTAAATTGTCAAATTTTTCAAAGAAAGAAAGAATTTTTCCCGAGAATTTATAAAGACATAAAAAATTCTGCGACACTGCAAAATTTATTTATTGTTATCAATTACAAATTGTATAGTATTAAATTATTAGACACTTACTTAATTTATGACATTTATAGTGTTAATATTTTTGCATTAATTTATATACCTAAAAGATGTGAATCTGTGCAACAGTGATTTTTATTGCAATTCGCATGTGTTCTCTCTAGAGATAATAGTGAGCTATCTTTAGGAGGAGAATTAGGAGGTGTGGGTTTTGTTTGAATCTTTTTTGCTTTTATCTCCGAGATGTTTGTTTTTTGATACTCTTCGAGATATAACAGAAATTCACGATAGGTAACATAGTTCTGAAACAAGAAATATGTATATTATGCAGATAATATAGATTGCAAATTGTACAAATTTTACATTTTTTATTATTTTAAATAAAGTTTGTAACAATTGTTGTGTGAAAAATAACGTATCACATATTAAATAAAAGATGTAGGTGCTTGAATTATAGTAGCTTGAATTACTTTGTCTTCTCCTGCCCAGTTGCGATTAGTCGGTTCGCTAAGTCCGAGCAAATCTATCCAGTGGTAGTAATCTTCAGTTTGATTACCGTACCAATATTTTATAATAACAAACCTATAAATTTTTATATTAATTGTGGCTTGTTTGTATTCTAATTTCATAATTCATTCTTGGATAAATTTAAAGTTTTTCAAATTGTAAATAAAATTCATACGCGAGACCATCATCCACCATTTTTTGTACTTCAGGGTAAGACATCAATTCCATAAATTCTGGATTTTCAGGATTTCTTTTGACATCTACTAATTGCCACGGAGCTATAAGTCCAAATCTAACACATTTCAGCACTTCTAACATGTATTGCTTTCTTTCATTCCAATCGTGCATTAACCATCTTACGGCAGACATTAGAACTTCCATTTCACTGTGAGACAAAAAAAGATACATACACTTAATATTATATTATTTATTATCATAATTTATATTACTTATTATTACTTATATTATTTATTATTATATTACATTATTTATTAAGCAAGATTTTAAACAAACAATTTCTCATTAATAAATAAAATTTCAAGTATAAATATCGACATTTTAAATATAACTGGACTGTATAATTCTCTATAAAATTTTCTTATGCATAAAATGTATTCGAAGTTCAACGAAAAAAATATGATAATAATACCTATTGACGCAAATATAATTAGATTTTAACAGTAAGCACAATTCGTCTGTTGACAATTCCAAAAAATCCTTTGTGCTAACGAGCATCAAGAAAAATTTCATTATTCTCGGCACCATCAGTTCCATTACCGCAGTATTTCCAATCTTTTTTGCTTCCAAGTATAATAGAAACGCAGTATCTTCGGAAAAGAGCTCGTCATTGTCAATGAATGCCCAGCATTGCTCTTCTAATTCTTTACGTGATATGCAATGTATATGTTTTTAATAAGGAATCCGTGAAAAATTTTATTATTACATTTTTTTATATATTTCATTTGAATGTTTATCTTATGTTAAATATTTTATTTCTATGTAAAAAGCAAAAATTTATTCTATTTAAAAATAAAAATTTGAGATGAGATAAAATATAGCACCTTTGATACCCAGATACTGTGCAGCCATAAAAATTTCTAATATATTATCTCTTCGTAACAGCTGGTAACTTTCATTAATTGGACTTATCATCCAGTCATAAATAATAGAGAAAGCCTTGGAAGTCACGCTGCTCTACATTTTGTGCATGTAATAAATCGCATTTTTAGAATTTCAACCCAATTGTATTATATCTTATTTTATTATATAGCTATTCATAAGAATGCTTTTACACAAAAATTTTCAAGGTTTAAGATAGCCATATTTTTGTTCAAATTTCAAAAATATTTTCTAAAATTATTTATTTTACCTAAAATCTAATCAAGTATTACAACTTAGATAAAATCTTACGCCGGACAAGTCGATATCCTTGCGATTTTTCTCGTCGAAAAATATACTGTAACTTTGCAGAACAAGAAGGTGGCAATGAAACTCATCATGATCAATTCGAACGACACAGTCAGCATTCCTTGGTAGAATAAATAGAGAAATGTTTACTTTAATATAATTTAATTTATAATAAACTGTTGCTCATAAAGCATAGCATAATATTATACAACTTAAATTATTTCTTACTAAATAACATGAAAGTTATTTAATTAAAAGATATTTAGTTAAAAAACACTTGCAAAGTGATATATATATATATATATATATATATATATATATATATATACACGAGTATATTATTTAAGATTCTCTCTCTTTTCTTACTTATAATTTATGATACGTCTAGCTAATTCCTGATACAAGTCAGTCTTTTCAGGAAGAATTATATTATTCCAATTGATCGGTTGCTCATTTGTAAATCCCAACCTGTTTAAAACAGAAAATAACCAAGACTAGAATAAGGAGATGAATATCACTTAAAATTGTGACATATAAATGTGTCCTTAAATTTTACATTTGTAAATTTTGTAAATTTTAAATTTAAAAGAACTAACGAGGCGAGTGGTACTTCGTTCATTGGAGGAAGTTGATGGGATGTCGATTGTACCGAATGATTTTGTTCCATTTCTGATGAATAAAACTTTGTACTTGGTTGCGTTCGTGATCTATAGCTTCCTTCGATATATGGTAACTTTTTCTGTGCCTGTGTGTGTTGCACAGACCAAATAACATTTAGACGATATCAAAACCAGAAATAGCTATAAAAAGACCTTGAGTTTCACCTGCAACTGATCGATCGTCGACGACGTAATGCCAGGCGGGAGATCGATATATCTTGTTCGATTCGAAGAGTCAGAAACGGATGTGCCAATGTTAACACCTGGTCGATTAAGCTCGGTCTTGACGTTGACCTTTGTATGTCGCGGATCAGCAACTAAAACGCTGAACTTGTTCGACTCGAATACAACCTAAAACGACTATGCTATGTCTGCTTCGAGACCGATATTTCTGAAAAGATTTCATTATAGCATCTGCTGAAACGAGATCTTTCTTACCTGATTCGGAATGATCTTGAGATTACCACTAGGCGTAGCTTGGAAGGGAAACATACGACTCGTCTCACCAATCCCATTCACGACGAATGCTGATTTCTTTGGGATAACGCTCGTTTCTTTGGGATGAGTTTGTATCTGCTGCTGTATCGGCAAACCCAGATTCGAGCAAGGTGACGTCGATTGCTTTTGCCTTTCTGTGTATTCCGTCTCCACTTTCCTGCAAAGTTATATTACATATCGCTTCTATGTATTACCTTCGATTCTGTTATATACCCAATCTATTCTCCAAATTATTTACTCTGGACGATGGTCCATAGGTTTTGAAGCGGCGGCTTCAACGAGTGAGCATCGTTTCTCCCAAGTTTTTTCTTCTTTGATACATTTATGCGATCTTTGATTCGTTGCGTGTTCGTTGATATGACAAGTAATTGTTCTCGATTGTGGCCTGACAGAATCTTTGGGAAGCTTGTTTGTGAACTCTAGATTCTTATACTTGGAATTTATTCCTATTTGCTTTTCAAGTGGAGTCCACTGATGTTGCAACGGCGATACAAATCGCTCTACTCGATTCGCGTGATAAATGTTTACATTCAGAGAAGGCTGTTGTCTTGATGTATGGCGATATCTTTTGCAAGTTTTTCGTCGACGTAGTGGATATCTCGGAGACAGAGTTTCCGGAGTTTCTATGATTTTTGCCCTTTTTAAACATATTTTCCGTGTAAAAATAACTTAAACCGGTCAAATATACTGCCTTACTTTACGGAATATAATCTCTTAAAATTTTTTTCACTGCATCGATATCACTTACTCATTCACTTACTTATCAGGTGATGCAGGACTTGTAACTTCCGATCGCGATATTTGCGATGTTTGTACTGTCTGATCGGATTTCGAAAGTTTCGAAAGCACAAGAGCTTTCGAAGATGATGATGGAGGTATATTGAATCTACCGTGATAAAGTACGACAACGCTGCTTTTACTGTTGCCTGTGCGTGGTTGATAGGACGTTACCGATCGAATTGCTTTTGGATCGACTAAAAAATTAATATAATAATATTAACATAATCTAAATTTATTTCTAAAAATTCTAGCTTTAGCAATTAACTCACGTTTCTTGCTGTTTTGTCGAATAGCCCTTACGATCCGTGGTGTACTGCTTTGTTTCCTGCTATCAGCGCAATGCATTAGGCGCTTTAACTAAGATAATAAAAACAACTTGCGCCTCAAAACTTTAAAGCGGCTAGGAGTAAGAATGTATGTTTGGATTAATTTTTTAAATAGTTACCAAATTTTCTCATTGAGTTTACGTTCAAACTTTTCACCATTGCTCGAATGCTTTTCTTCGAAAGTTACCCCTTGTGGCTAAGAAACAGTCCATCAAAACACATATAGTACTATAATATATCTTTAAATTTATTTTTGCATATTAATTAGTATCCTAGAAAAAATTTACGCTGATTCTTTATAAGGATTTCTTTATAAGATGAGAAACGTTAAACTTTTATAAATTTAAATCGTTAATCGTTAAAAAATATATTTTATTCCAGATGATTAAAATTAGACATTATTAAGTAATGACTGCAATGCGAATGACACACAATCTGCCAAATGTTAACATACTTTGGATACAAAAGGGTTCACGTCAAAGTATTCTAAATATACAATTACTTAATATTATACATACCTCATATCTTACTTCATACTTTTTCTGACAGATATTTGAAACAGAAGATTCAATATTTGAGATATGTCGCGACGCGGCAACCTGGTCGACTTCTTTGGTAACTAAAATGTGTCTCCACAAAATAATATGCGTGTATAAAATATATAATGACAAACAAAAATTTTACATAAAACGCTTTTGTCAAGTAATATAAGGATTCTCTTATCAAAGATTTGAAACTCGTATATTTAAACTTTATTAACACTTACATCACTTACATAATTTTGCTTCGACGACTCGTCTATTAACAACTGGATCTTGACAGCAATGTAATGATTTTGACGGCAATTTGAGAAAGTCTAGTTGATCGTTCTTCTCGTTTCTAGATGCTCGACAAGTAAGTCGCAATTTTCGACAAGATTGTGTCACTCTTGGAAGATACAAGATCAGTGATTACACAGCTTTTTTAAGATATATAAATAGATTAAGATTCGAGCAAACATTACTTTGGATTCGGTAAATCAAGATCCGATGAAAAATACGAGTCGTCTTCGGCGGTTGTACAAGTATCAAACTGCCTCTGCATATTCGATTAAATATATTAAATTATATATGTATAGATATAAGATATGCAATATTTTCGCGTAGACAAGATTCAAAATCACTCATGATTAATATATGTATTAATTGTTTGCACTATACTCACATCATAACGTGCGAAGCTTCTTCGCATGATATGTGTCACGTTCAAAGTATAACTCGCGGAATTCACATAATAACGACGAAACACTTCCTTTTCGTCCCTGTCACGTAAAATATAAAATAATAAAAATATATATGCTATATAAATGAATGCTGTGACATTTAAAATGAACGAGACATTTGCAAAAGTGCGCGTGTCTAGAAAGGCCTTAGATACGTAACAGCTAACAGATGAACGAGATGACAAGAGAACATCCCATTCCGCTTCGAAAATTACTTTTAAACTGCACAATTCGAATGTAATAATAAGTATACATAATACGTATACGCATAATAAAATTTTCATGGCTTTTATATTATAAGAATGTTATACCATTTAATATCTTTCTTAAGAATAAAAATATTCTTAATAATTTTTTTTCAATTTTTTAATAAGTATTAATATTTATACCATATATTTAATATAAACTTTCCACATGTGTACGCGCAACACAAAACATCTTAAATTTTAGTTTTATTAAGTTTACTTTTTAAATAAATTAAGACATTTGAAAAAGATGAAGAAAGCAGTTTCGAGAACATGAAAAAAACATGGAATTGTTGTTATTAGTATTACTTAAGTAAGAGAAAAAAATCGTTGCAGAGAAACACTTTTTTAAGAATAAGTATCTTGTAACTATAGATCAGAGAAAGATATAATATTCTGTTATACGTACGGAAATGTTCAACACTCACGTGGAACAATGGAAAGTATCTCAAAGTACATAAAACCTTATAGGCTCAAGAGGCACAGCCTTTTATTAAGCTTATGTTCGACATTAACTACGGCCATTAACTACGGCTATAAGCGAGCAATTAAAATAATTTTGTAACGGTGCCGATAGAAACGCTTACAGAGAGAATTATTAAAGACAATGGTGCAAATGGATGAAACGTTGAAAGTTCCCTGCAGTTCTCTCTGAACATATTGTTCTTCTACAGTTCTATTGATAAGTGTGAAATGCAGTTCTTCGATGGACGGAATTATAGGATCAATAAAGTCCTTCTGTCGTGTGTCGGACAATGGCCGTATCAAACGAATAGAAGTAGCAGCGCTATTATTATCATTATAGTGTCTTTAGCTGGCACGCAATTTATCGCCAAGGTATGACGACGCATATTTGAGTATCGCAGACTTAATTGTTCGTTGATGAAAAGAATTTTATTAATCCTTTTTTTATAGAAAAGAAAGTTATTTTTCGGATAACTATACATTTGTTTTATATTCTATTTTACATTTATACATATAAATAATATTTAAATGCTGTATGCTTTAGTGCTTCATACTTATAACTTCATGGTTTAAGCATAGATATGTGGTTTACTCTCTATTGACAACGTCGATGTGTTTATCGATTCTCTTTCACCATTAGTAGTCGATATAGGATGTGGAGTAAAATTAAACACTTGCATATTAAAAACAACAGAGGTATATATAAACATTATAAACACATATTGTGATATATCTAAATTTTAAAATATTTTTAACATACACACCCGCTTATCGCAGGGCATGTCTAAAATTTATATATTAATTTAAATATGCGAGAAAGAACAACTGTGTTACTTTGACAGTTGTTATTATTATTATTATTATTATTATTATTATTATTTGAGCAATTCTATATTGCAATTTTTTAGCCATAATAAAAATAAAAAATTTGGCAAAATTGTAATAAAATTTAATTACAGATCAGGGCACTTTTCGATCAAATACAATACGATTGGCAATTATTAATGACATCTCCATACATCAAGATTCTTAATAATTATGCGCAAAATGGACGGACGTTTACAATCATATACGCGAGTAAGCATAATATGATTGTATGTGCAATGAAGAAAAAGTTCTGCGAAAGACTATCTCTTCTTAAGTTCCTGAAAAAATTATTTTCTATTAGTGACCGTAATAACATAAGCATACCTCTTTTTATTACGGAATCTCTTATTTCCTATAGTAAAAATTCAAAATACAAATTGAATTCATTTTGTAGTTACAACAAAAATCAAAGATAATAAAGACTACAAAATGATTAAGAATATATGAATTTATTTAGGCGCTTTTTATTCCGCGCTGGTGTTCTTTATGTTAGTACCATTGCAACCATTGTTACTGGGTTCTTCTTCAAATGATACAACTCGACCATTGTTACACCAAGTTGAGTACTATATCGATATGGAGAAATATTACTTTCCAATCTTAATTCATGGATACGTTACAGCAGTCATTTGTGTAAGCATTGCCATCGCGACAGATACAATGTATGTAATAGTAGTGCAGCATGTTTGCGGATTATTTATGATTATCGGGTAAGACTCTCATAAAATCGTCTTTACTTTGTTCATTTTCCTTTAAACGCATTTTAATCAATTTGAAATTTGTATTAATAAATAATTTTGAAACTTATTGTGCCTCAATTGCATCAGGCAACAACTGGAAAATTTAGTAAAAGAAGATAATCTAGAAATAAATTTTAACCCATTTATAAAAAACGATAAACCGTATGAAAATATTGTAAGCAGCATTCATGCACACAAGAGAGCTCTAAGGTACTGTAATACAGGATGCAGCTTAATAGCTTATACTGCTTATTATAGCTATATTGTGTAATCAATTTTACTGTTATACATATCCATATATGTTATTGTTAAATTTATAATTACATTAACATACTTAAACAACATATATATTTATAGCACGTATACATATTAATTGTACATTTATTCCTATAATAAGACATATTCTATCTAAAAAAGTATTATGTTTTTAATTTGTTCATGAAGATTTGCCAGTCTCATCGAAGCAGTGTTCAGCCAAATGTTCCTTATAATAGCGGGTTTCAATATGCTTATCATAAGTATGACGGGTGTTACGGTATGTTAGCTTCATTCATCTTAATTATAATAATATATGATAATGTTCCATTTCGTTCAATAGCGTTAAATGAATTATTAATATATTAGAAAAACTGATTACATGCTTCAACATCTATGTAATTCAAAGATTAGTAAAAAATATAAGTATGTTAATGAATAATTTTTAGTAACATTAATTAAAAATGGATTTAAAATTAAAATATTACTTATTCCTTTGTAATTACAATGTTAAATGTTCTTAGGCAGTCACAAATGTGGATAACCCCGAAGAGTTTTTAAGACAAATAACATTTTCATGTGCATTGTTAGTACATCTATTTTTCGAGAGTTTTCAAGCACAACGTCTAATCGACCATAGCACATATATCCACACCAGTTTGTACGTATAAACATTTTGGTATTAATAAAACGAATCAATCTATTCTTGCTTATTTTCAAACAAAATAAATTTTACATATGCTCTGAGAATTATCTTAAATACAAATTATAATATAAAAGTCATTGTATTTTGCTTGCAGAATGAACGTAACATGGTATCAAACTTCATCTCGAACAAGAAAAATCTTAATATTTATGTTAATGAAAACGCAAGAACCTTGTGTATTAACAGCAGGAAAAATGTTTGTTATATCCATGGATACCTTCTCTGCGGTAAGTCATATTACTGTATGCATATTATATGTATATAAATATGTATATGCGTGTGTGTGTGTGTGTGTGTGTGTCAATTGGCTACTTTGGCGACTGTCGTTAAATTAACCGCAACAATAAAAAGCATATTAGTTTCACTATTGGCACTATTATACCTATATAAATTGACAATATTAAGTGGCACACATTGGCGATTTTAACAACAGTGAACAAATAATATAAATTTACCTTATATTTTGACGAGAACATATTTATTCCATATAATTTTAGCCAAAAATTATTCGGATATTGATATAGTTCCGGAGTCGGCGTGCAATAAAAATACTCAACAAAAAATCATGAAATCAGCTTAAAGAAAACATTCAAAACGAGAAAAAAAAGCTAAAACCATTTTGTAGTGTTTTTCTATCATGTATGATTGCCGAGAGATATATACCGTAAGTGTGTAATGAAAATAAAAAGTCGCTCGGCGCACGCGTTTTGTTAAGATCTCGCGCGCTTTCTCGTCTTATTTTATTGTTAGTAATAGAAACTGTAAAACTGTCAGTATTAAAAATGACTACGTCCAATAGGGCAGATTTCAAACTAACGAGTGCTTGTCGAATCGTCTTTCTATCATTTGCGGTTGCCAAAATATAAGCGTTTTATGAAAATAAAAACTCGCTCGGCGCCCGAATCCTTAAGATTTTGCGCGCTTTTTCATCTTAATAAACGGAAATAAATACGTGGCAATAATAAAAGTGAGCACGTCTAATAGAGTAGAGCACGATCTAAAAAGTGCTTTTTGAATCATCTTTCTGTCTTTTACGATTGCCGAGCGATATAAGCGTTTAATGAAAATGATGAATGCGGCGAGGCGCGCGATTCTTTCGGCTAGCTCGCGCTTTATTGCTTTAATAAACGAAAGTACATAATATTGCGAGTAATGCACGTGAGTAATACCAATAGGGCAAAATATAAAGTACAAAGTCTTTTTTTAATCATCTTTCTATCATTTACGGTTGCCGAGATATAAGTAAGCGTTTTACGAAAGTCAGAAATCATTTTACGCCCGATATTTACGGCACGCGCGCGCTTTATCATGTTAAATAAACGGAAGGACGCACGTGTTAGTAATAAAATCGAGATATTCCAATAGTGCAGAGTATAAACTAAAGTGTCCTTTTTGAATCATCTCTATATCTTCGGTGGTTGCCCAGATATTTGCGATAAACGATAGGGAAGACTTTCTCGCGCCAATTAGCCCAATTAGCCAGCGACACATGGCCTTGACCTACTTGAGCGGCGAACGCGGGCGGCGGGCGGCGGGGGGAGGGGGACAGTTTCGTCACGAGCAGCTGTACATTATTGATCCACTTTCTAAATTGGCCTTGACCTAGATCGCCGAGTCCGGGAATGCCGGCGCGTGTCGTATAAATATTTTGGTGCTTTCGCTAACTGATTTTTAAAGGTTTAACTGATGTAAATTTAAGTATAGCGAGTGCCTGCTTCAAAAGCAGCGTCGTTTACATTGTCGCAGCTTCCTCTTTAATGTGAAATGTATTATTAATGATATTGCAATCACACTAATCACATTGGCGCTAATTACAATATTTTATGTCATTTATGAATGATGTTTATATCTGTGGTGATTGCTGAAATATATCTATAAGAATTTATTAATCGTTGGCTATGCATTATGCAAAAACATTTTATAACTCTTTATTGTTCAATCTTGTTCGAGAGACCATGCCTCACATTAAAGGACACATAACAATGATAATATAAACGTATTTCTTGAGATTTATTAGTCCCGTGTCGTTTGTAGCATTTCGGATCGTCTATATATACCTTCTCGCCGAGCGCAAGCGACGGCATTCGTAGCTTCCTTTTTTTTCGTTGGCTAACATTATGCAGAGATATTTTATAACTCTTTATCGTTCAATCTTGTTCGAGAGAGCATGTTAAAATACAGAATACTTATGATATATGTTCGCTACGACAGCGTCGACTGAATAGCGATCATGACTTGGCAGCGTTATAGGCCGCCGCAATGTTCGTCTTAGAGCAACGGAGGTGCTCGGTACTGACATCACAATTTTAATTTGTTGCATTAAAAATATAATTTTTCAAGCATAAAAGTAAAACGAGATTTTGTTTTACATAAGAACAATATCTATTTAAAATTATATACTCTATGTCATGTTTAGTGTGAGAAATGAGTTGGAGCGTTTTGCGTGCCGCACATATATACGTGTGAATTACTTGTAATTTAAACGAATATAATTAATGAATATAATAATAAATGAAATTTCCTATTTCAATGATAGGTTAAAATTAAACACGTAGATGAATTTGATCACGTATATCGTAGAGATGCACAAAAGATCATAAAAATGGTTGAAAGTACATATTAAAATGGGCCGTTAGGTGAAAATGGCGATTCTCGGTGTTGAAAACTCCGTTTAAATCGGCAAAAGTATTAGCATAGCATGTTAAGCAAGGAGGTTGACGGAGGTATTCTAAACGAGGGTGTTGCCTCCCCACATTGCCTCCGCTTAGTCACGCTGCTATTGGTCAGAGGGCAGGAGCCTACTGCCCCTTCTATGCGTACCTGCCAGCGCTCTGATTGGCCGTAGGCTGGGCATTCGCGCCGCGCACCGTTCCGACGGCGATGGGTAATAAGTGGGGGTAGGCGTCTCGTTGTAGAATACCTACTACACCTCTTTGGTCATCCTGCTTTCCGCGTAACAGGAGCGATTTCTGTCTGATGAATTACTGACGATTCCAAAAACTCGAGATTCTCGCTTCCCTCATAATCTAAAATTCTTTTTATAATTTTTATGATCTTTCAAGCGTCACAATGAATACGTAATATGTATTATATTTCTCACTATTACTTAATTATTACTTAATAATTACTTAATATTAACATGACGTGTTTATTAAATTTGTAATGTATTTATTATTAATATTACATTTGCTTATCAAGAGACACGGTGTCTTATGCCAAGTATACATATAGGTATACATATACATAGCGATATGAATGTATAGATAATTCATGCGCACACAAGACTTATAAGCGACGAATACCGCAAGATTAGCAATGAGACGATAACAAATTGAAATTGACTCTAATGTATATGTTTTCTCCGATAAAATATATCTTTAAATTTAGATATACATATATGTATTATAAGAAACAAAATTATGAAAGAATGAGATTACATTTACACAGACACGTTATCAAAATTAATGTAACTATTCAAACGTCGCAATTTTAATACCATGTATTTTTTTTTTCAAGATTGTACGTACATCGGTGTCATATTTTACAATGTTGCGGTCGGTGCAATAATTGATTTACTTCATTCGTAAGCTGTTATTGCGTAACATTTAAAACATATTAACGTAAGATAAAATAAATAATTAATTGCACTATGTTTTGACTGAGGGAAAGTTTAGAATAAATAATAACACGTAGAATAAATAATAACAGTTCCAGCATTTTATTTCGGATCCAATTTTACAATGTAATAGAAATTTGTTTTAGAAATGTTATATTCGTGCGTCTGTAAGGCATTCCTACATTTGATTTGATTTTATTTGGATTGAATCTTACGTTATATTCAGGTATTCCATTTTTAATGGTTTCTAGAAACCTGTAAAAAGTATTGTATTTATAATACAAAATTTTATAATATATTTTATGCATGTGTATTTGCATTTGTGTGTTTAATACAAGTAGATTATTAAATAGATTATTAAAATTACTTTGCTGCATAATGTTCATTTTCAGTAATATATAGTATGTCGTCTACATATCTACATAGTAGACTGTTGTTTAAATATTCAGAAAATATTTTTTCAGACATGTGTTGGTAATATATGTCGGATAAAATCGGAGATACTGATGCACCTTGTGGCACACCAAAATTTATTGAATATATTCGTTCATTCAATTTAACCTACAATAAAAGTATTATTGAATATTAATTTAACTTTTTAATTTCATATATATTTATTTTACCTTTTGACGAAATATTAATTTCTTTATTTTATTAAGCAACTTTTTTGTTTGAACTAATTTAGGTTTTTCTTTGGTAATCTTTGTGTTTTTGGGTATATGTTTCCTAAGTTTATAAGATAAAATTTGCACTGTGAATTTTTTTCTTTGGCTTCTTTTAGTTTTTAACAAGGTAAAAGTTCGTACTGCAAGATACTTTTCTAATTGTTCGCAATACATTACGATAATATCATATAATTTTTCTGAAAGAGAATATTAAAATGTAAGTAATCGATATACTTGTTGATAAATATGTTCAATGTGATGAATAATAAATTATACGTTGTATTATCGAGCCAAATGCATCTTGAATATCACATAAAACAAAATATAATCGTTTCTTAGATCTTGGGTATAAAAAATTTGAAATCTCCTTTCTGCAGCTTGCTACACTTGGGATGCCATTTTCATTAGAAAATGTCACATATAATTGTTGCAGAAATCTTAAGACAACGTCAATATCGTCATATTTTTCTTTAACATCGTACCTAAAATTGTGCACATGTAAGTATATATATTTTACTAATAGTATTTATATTCATTTGTAGCATAAATAAAAGAGTATTTAAGGAATAATTTATTAAATAGGTGTGTTTATGTACTTTGTTATAAATAAAGCTCTCAAACCAGAAGAACCTGGAATAAATTTATATGTCCCGATATTATGTGTCTTATTCAATGTCGTGTCGGGTACAAGACCAAGAGTATTCTCTTTTTCCCGTATAAACTCTTCTTGCATTTTACACCAATTATCTTTTGTAATGTAAACCCATTGGTTATGAATTTCTTTCAAGACCACATATTTATGTAAGATCTTTATAACGTACTGTGTAAAAAACCAATGCAATAGCTTCAATATAATTATCCATTGTACTATACTGTTATCAATTGAATGTAACCATCTAATGTCAGAAATCTAGAAAAAAGATATTGTGGACAATATTGGACACTTCAATTATCAAATTAATATATAGAAATGATGATAATGATGATAATGGTCCTGTTCAAACTATATCTATAATTTGCTTCAACTTTCAACAAACATACATCCAGCTTCTTGAATAATGGTTGCAAGTCTAGTAATGCTCCAGTAGCATTTTCCGTTCGTCGTACAGTTCTTTTGAAGGCACTTTTTATCGTCATATTTCCTGGAACCGTCTTTAAAAGACGATATATTGTCCTATTTATAGCATTTCGATTCCTCTTGCCAAATAATTCAGGAGGAACATTTTTATTCAACAGTGAGCTAAAGAAAGATTGCAGTAAACGGGTATCAACTTGATTTTTGTATTTCTGGGTTCCGTTTCTTTGGCCATTTTCTGCTGTAGATTTCAACTTATCGAAATAATTAAATTTATTATGCCGGATCTTGAATACGTTCAATATCGGTGACAATGCAGGAATAACATTATCTAAGTTAACGTTTTTGTAATGGCTGCTGAGTCCAATATCTGTATTTAGAATGCTACGACATATATCTCGCTCTGTATTCTTGCTCTCTAAAATATGATATTTTGAAATTTTTGCCGTGGTACGATTTGTCTTCCTTAATCGGCATCTAGATGAAAACAATTTTACTTTGGAATTATATGTTTCAAGTGGGACAGGAGATGTAACTTTTGTCTCAGCTTCTGACTTTGGACAGGGTGCACTTTTAGACGTACTTCTTCCATTATGCCAAGCATATTTTCTAGAAAAGACATTAACTGATATGTTAACTTGAACACAAAAACAAAATAATCGAAATAAAATAACAAGTACAAATTTGAAAAAGCAAAAAACAAAGAAATAATTATATATTCAAAAAAAGAAAATACTAAAAGAAGAAAAATAATAGAAACCTGTTATTCATAAAAAGTGGTTTGTAATAATTGCAATTCATTTCTATTAGAAACTTTAACAATAAGCGCCAAGCTTTCCACTTTTCCTGCATAAATAAACACAATAGCCAAAGACACGGTTAAACCACGAAATATCCATATCACTGAGGATAGGATGACGCCGATGCAAAATAAAACATCATGGCCAGTATTCTAGTCGGTTTCTTTTGTCAGTTGTCCTATTGTCGACCCTCATAAAAAAAAAACTGAATTTTAATCTGGGGAATTTGATTCATTAAAGCTTGGACAAATCTCGGCTCGGGTTGTGATTTGCTTATTTGAAAATTTTATAGAAGAGGAGCGTGTTCAGAAATGTGTGAAATATAACCTCAACTTGTATCTGTACTGTACGAAATAAATAATAGTAACAGGAAGAAGCAAATTAATGAGCATGAAAGAGTTCTTTTCTCTTACACTCGTGTACAGTTTCCTGACGAGGGGATATCTTTCGGAATTTATTTAATACTTTATTAGTAAATGTTTGAGATATAGGTTACGTTTGACACCGAGCTTTTTATATTTTTTATAGCGCAATAAGTTGTCTTCTCTCTCAGAGAATACTCTTAATTTTGATTGCCACCGTATCCTGTTACGTGAATTCTCTTATCAGAAAACATTTTTTTCTAAACGATTATTGCGTTGTCAGTCTGTGAAGATGTTGCAAAGAATAAGTGGTTTGCTACAAATCACCGTGAGTATTTTGTTCGTACATGGTTATTTCCAACGAAAATGAAACTGCTGAAATAATCTCGTGAAAATTAACAACGTAAATAATCCTTCTTCCTGTAATAGGCTTATGGGCACAAAGTGAGCAGCAGATACTTGAATTTTGTTCCTATTGTAGTGGAACAAAGTGGACGTGGTGAGCGTGCATATGACATTTATTCGCGTCTTCTGAAAGAGAGGATTATTTGTCTCATGGGTCCAGTACGATGAAATTATACATATCTTACTATATTTACACATTTAATTTACAATTCTGAGACAAATTTAATCATCTTTTCATTCAACAGGTCACAGATGTTGTAGCTTCCGCTGTAATTGCTCAACTTCTTTTTCTTCAATCCGAAAGCAGTAAAAATCCGATTCATTTATATATTAATTCACCTGGTGGAAGTGTAACGGCAGGGCTCGGGATATACGATACCATGCAATATGTTCTTCCCCCTATCTCTACCTGGTGCGTAGGGCAAGCGTGCTCTATGGCAAGTCTACTTTTAGCAGCTGGAACCAAAGGAATGCGTCATTCTTTACCAAATGCTAGAATCATGATACATCAACCATCAGGAGGAGTACAAGGACAAGCTACAGATATTCAGATACAAGCCACGGAAATCCTTAAATTGAAACAACAGATCAACGAGTTGTATGTCAAACATACCGGGCAGATGTTAGAAGAAATAGGTATGCCTGCCGAGATGTCTTTTCTTCAGGCTTTACCATATGTAAAATGTTTTTTTTATTTCATAAAAATCATATTGCAGCAAAGAGTATGGAGAGAGATAATTTTATGAGCCCAACACAAGCCAAAGAGTTTGGAATTATAGATAAAGTATTGGCCCATCCTATGCAAGAAGAAACTGCAGAAACAGCAACAGAGAAAGCAGACAATGTAACAACGAAACCTTAATACTGCTACTACTGGATAGGATGGGTATATAGGTTCCATTTTATTGTCATGTTGAAACAAACGCAATAAAAAGATGTATCATTATTTAATAATAATAATAATAATAATAAACTATTTATAAAACACGTATAAACTACATCCTATTCAACTGAAAGTGACATGTTCACTTTCAACGTGGCATATATAAAACATACTGATTTATAACAGCATTATGAATGAGTATTAGAATGATAATCGTCTGTTTCTTCAGAGTTTATCTTCAAGCGTGATATATCGATAAAAGCAAGTGTGTAACTTGTAATATGAAAAAACCTTTTCACCTAAAAAACTTATTGCCGTGTATTACGTTTTTGCTTCTGTTTATAAGTTCTAATGCAAGTTATTAAAAATGTACAGTCTCAGCATTTTCATAAGTCGTAAAAATAAATTGTATTGTTTTTACATATACCTACCCTGTTTGTGTAATCGTTATCTTAAAAGTTTTATCTTAAAAATGCTGTTTATATAGTTGTTATTATTATTATTGTGAATATCACACGCGCGCACGCACTTTAAATTTTTTTTTCGACTCTGAATATACGTCAGCTAATCTCTTACCGACGTGTACTCTGATAATTAAGCAAAAGTCTTACTTCAAAATATAGATAATGGAAGACAAAGCCTTGTGCGTCCCGAAATATATACATATACAAGTAAATTTGTGCGAAATGTAAAAATGCGAGTGTTCTATATTATGCATAGTATATCTTTATAATTCTTAGTGATAACATTTATATATACTTAGTATACTTCTATGTATCGAGATATCCCATTTAAGATCTATTATCACCAGGAATGCTTTATAAAAAAAAGCTCTATAAAGAAACGCTTTATAAAAAGGACGGAATAGTTTTCGTGTCACAAAGTTAGGCCTTGGAAAGAATTAAGTAAAACGGCCTTTATAAGACTATCTCAAAAAACTATGTTTCTTTTTTTTCCCCAAAAACTTATCCCTCGCGAAAGACCAGTCTTGTTATTTATCTCAGCAAGATTCACATTAAAATTCATTGTGGGCAGACTTGCGCGTGTGCGAGCATTAATATATCTTTCTTTTCTTTTGGAAATCTAAGTTCTCGTCCCGCTAATCGCGCAGTTTCAAGTTCACGCTCGGCTAAAGCCAATTCCATTGCCACGATCCCGCCACCGCTCTCGTGTTCTCTAGCAACCCAGTCTAATGCCATTTGGCTACGCATATCGTCGTCTAATGCCCGATGACTATAATGCGCGACTACTTCCTGCCTGCTGCACTGCCTTTCTCTCATGGCTTTTAAAGAACCATTCCAATGAAGCAGTTGAAAGACCGTCATTAGCTCTTGGAATTCCAACATCGTTCTTCCACGATTGCATTCCAACATAAAACGAAACGCTCCTATACCTGTGTTTGGATCTTCTTTCTCGTCACCGCTTCCCTGAAAGCATATGCATATGTATATGTATAAGCATCTCTACTGTAATTTAACGTGATAAATAACTTATCATATTTTATTTACTTGTGCTTGGCTACCGACTCCGTTTGACGTTGCCGAAGGTTTGGCAAAACTAGCCCTTGCCTCTGCGACAGCTTTTTCAATGAAGTCATCGGTAATTTTTCGTGATGGATGTTCGTTAAATACAGAATTCATTAGCGCAATTTTTGCGGCCGATCTGCGTGCTTCCGCCTTCGTAGGACAGTTTTGAAAGCTTCCGAAACAAGATCCTCCAGGAAGCGTTACGTAGCAAACGTAAGGTGGATTGGCACCAGGAACGGATTCATAAATAACTAACGCGCCATTTCTCAATTCTGTTCCTCTAGCTTGTTTCATCTGCCAAAATTCTTGCAACGCTTCCACGACATTTACTGCGTATATAAAAATATATGTAGAAAATTATAAGTAGTCTAAGCTGAGAAAGATTTTGTTATATATACCTCTGCCATAACCTTGACTATGTTTTGCAAAACTATTAACCACTGCATCTACAGCCTCTCTTAAAACTTGCTTAGCACGAGCATCCACCAGTCCACCTGTGACCCCCATATTTTCGGGAACACGTGATTTTGTCTTAACTGGCATCATGCCCTGCATTACTCAGAAACTTGCATTTATTTACTCTGCAAAAATATAGCAATATAGCGTCACTTTAGCGTTATTTGTAACTTCCGAAACTAAATAGTAAAACAACTTTCATACGTCTTTCTATAATATACATGTATATCATTACACCCAGTCTCTTTAACGTCTCACAGAACATTGTAAAACATGTTGTATACGTATCAAGAATGTATAAAACGTATAAAAATCATCTCAAGATTTATAATAAATGGAAAGTACACGCTAATCAAACTGCATCTGACGTCGCGCGATTAAGAAAAACGACAAGATTTTTTTCTTTTCAGGTAATACGGAGGTTTCGTGACAAGACTGACAAGTACTAGGTACGACTCGCTGTCACAGTGACGTTGACACTCGCGATCGGGATCAGGTCAGCGTTCGCGCCGTCGATCACGGCTGATCGGGCTGATGACGTCCGATCAGGGTCAGGCGACGCCGACGCGATGCGTCTCGTTTACTCACCGAAGAATCAACGAGACACGGCTGCGTGCGCGCACACCGTCTTCCTGGTGACCGTCGACCGTCGACGTTCGATTCGACAGACTCGACGAGTGTCGGATGCTGCGCGACAACGGGAGCGAAGAGACGAAGGTGGCATCGGGCGACGGGCGTGAGAAGGAACCCAGGACCCAGGAAGTCTGGCCGCACGGAAACCCGGATGCCCAGGAATTCGCGTAACGTACTCTCCGATCGGGGCACCGCACCGAGCGCCGCGGGATCAACGATCAACGTGCAAGACACATATAACGCGTTTAATGGCCCCGGACCGCTGACGATTTCCAGAAAACCAGGGCCGGGCGACTTGCATGGGCGCCCCGCGCCACCGCTCATCCCACCCGTCCACGGGCCACGGCCGCCAGCACCGAGGTCCGCTGTTCGCTTTCCGCTTTGTCGCCGATGGTCACCGATGGTCGCCGAGTCGCCGAGGCTTGCCAATGCCAACCGAACGTTTTCTCTTATTTATTTTCTTTGCTAACGGATCCAGTCACCAGTGCGGCCAGTGCCGCACCATCACACCATGCCCATTCGGCCCAGTCGGCCTAGCATGACGCGGATGACGCCCGTGACGGCCGTGACGGCCGTGACCGTGACTCGCGCGTCTGACGATAGTATAACGATTCATCTTCCGAGGAAATATATAACAATAAAATAACGTTTGTTAATAAAATGAGTTAATAAATTGACTAGTCAATCTAATCATTAATCGTATTTGCATTGAGTAACGTTAAAACGTTAGCGCGCTACTTAGGCGAAGAATCCTGATTATCCACTTTTAGCTGTCTAGCATTTCTAACGAGTGCACCACGTGAATCTCGCAAATTCAATTATTAATTATTATTACGTTTACGCGAGCGTTACTACAGAACCCCGTTTACGCTGAATGACGTATCGTACGTAAGTTATTCTACAGAAGTAATGCTCGCGTAAATATATATCTCTTGATATATATATATATATATATATATATATATATATATATATATATATATGTATATGTATATTATCGCTTACGTGCTTATAATAAAAGAAAAAGAAGAAACTCGGGCCCTGGTACCATTCAAAATATGCGAGGAAACAAACGTGTGAAAAATCTGAAAAATCACGTAACGTCTATTCATTTTCCGCTCCTTTCCCTATGTATCGATTTATCGATTCCTCCACGCACATTAATCTAGAATTTGCGCATGTGTTCCGTGTCCCAGTCCCATGTGCGATATTGCATTGGCGACATTATCGGAGCAACTTGAACAACTTGCGATCTAGACGAGAAGATTTCTCGCAAGAAAGTCCGATGGCAAGGGCGTCGTGTCGTGCGCGCTTTCTGAAAATCTAATGTACCTGTAGATAAAACAGCAGCCACCATAGCGCGGCACATTCAAACTATTCCAAGATATTAATAATAAATTTGCTAACGTATCTTGACGGCGTTGCGTAAGTTTTGATGACTTTTTTTTCAACATATTCACGTACCCATACTTACAAACACGTCTACTTATTTCTTTCACGTCATGCATGCGACTTCTTATTTGACAAAATAACAACAAAAAATAAAATAAAATAAAATCAAAAGTTACACGTGATTCTTGACATAATGGGTGCGTTCAGCCGATACTCTGCTAGCCTAGCGCACGTAAGCAGCGAGCGCTTTGCTACCATTTGCTACGGAAAAATTTCGCTGAACAGAAGCGCACCCATTTTAACGCTGTTTTTGAAATTTGGATGGAATATCTTATTATTTAGCCGCATGTGCATCTATTAAGAAATCTGAAACTTTCTACATCGTTAGTCGCAATTCGCAGTGTCGCAAAAGGAATGTCACCACTGTTATATATATAATTATTATATAATTGTGCGTGACAGATAATCGAACGCGCGTCATACGTTGACAAGTTGAGCACGTTGTGCGGAAAAGGGGCAGAGCGAGGCGTCCGCGTCGTGAATACGTTCGGCGCGTAAGCAGGAAGACAGGTAATGGCGCGGATGTGGATACGTGGCAAGAGGTAAGAGGCAAGAGGCAAGAGGTTCCCGAAACCGAAAAGGGAACGGAACGGAACGGCTGCCCGCCGCGGAAGTAGGAAAAGCCCGCGAACGAGGCGAGGCGCGAGCCGCGAGCGGCGATTTACGCGCGCACATTTCCCGCGCGGTCGCCGCGGTCGACGGCCGCGCGCGCGCCGCGCACGCAAGTGGTGCGAGTGGTGCAAATGGTGCAAGTGGTGCAAGCGGTGCAACCGTGTGCACGGGTGCGTGTTTGTACATATGCGTAGGACGGATCAGCTGAGCGCCAGCTGTGCCGCGCGCCTCGGCCAATCGGCGACGAGGACAGCAGCGCGGCGTGACGCTCGTCGCTCCGGCTCCGGCGTTCCCGCGAAACGCGTTTTGTAGTTGTAAGCGCTCCGCGCCCGCGCCAGTTCGTTTCGCAGCTCGCAGTAGATACGCGCCCGCCATCCGAACGTGTCTCGTCGCGGCCGTCTTCCAGCCGCGTCAACCCGCGCGCGCTAAGGTGCTCAGCTGCTTGCGCGTTTTCCGTCCAGACGCCGAACTGTCGATCCAGCCGATGTGACACGCGTGACGAGAACGGCAACGCGAAAGACACGCGAGTGGGAGATATATGCGACGCGACTCGCGTAGCTCCACGGCCTCGACCGGGCCTGCCGGGCCTTCCGTCTTGCGTTTATCGCGCGCGAGCCTCTCGGAGCCTCCGGACTTGATGCGTCTGTCTGCCCGGTCGACGCCAATCCCTGCATTTTCGCTGGATATCCGCCCGAACGAGCTGGCCGACCGTGGTGCCTCGCGGAAGGACGCTCGTCTCGGAGTCGCCTTTCGGCACGCAGAAAAATCACGAGTGACGTGCGGAAAGGAAGGTATCCAGGAGACGAGGTATCGTAACGGCGTCGTGCCTGAAATGTACCACGGAAATCTCCAAAATTTGCCCCTTCTTTGAGGTTATGTGCCGCATATAGAGGGCGTTACAGAGCTTACAGGGGTTGGTCGTCGTTCGTCGTTTCGCGCGCTAGTCTCCCGCGCTTCCAGATCCACGTCCTCTATTTTTCTCGAAATATCGTTGATTCCCGACCCGCACCCGCTGCAAAATAACTCGCGGGCGAGATAAATGAATTTTCCGATCAGCGAACGTGACGCCCAACGAAAATCGTGAGTCTACACGTTGAATCAAAGACGGCCAGGAGAGCTGAGGAGAACGTGCATTATGGCGATCGGCGGCGCGTAGGCTTCGCGCGCTCCTCCGCCTTTTCGTCGTTTTCCCTGGAAAATCCTCGCGCCCGGATCGTGAAACGTCAACGGGTCCTCGATTCCAGAGTCTCCCTTGCCGTGTACACTTGGGAAAAATTTATTCCGGCCGCAAATATTTTCCGTACACGTCGACACGCCCGCGGCAAGATGCCACAGAGCAGGTGAGTGAGCGATGTTCCATTTGGCGTTAAAATTCAGATATATCTCTGTCTCGTGGCCTCTGGCTCATTTAGATTACGATGAACGCACGTCGGCGCCTATTCCGTGCTCCATTAAAAATACATTTTTCCTATTCGTGCTTAAATTTTCCGCCTATAACCTTTTCCTTTTAGTCAGTTTCTTTTCTCAAGTTTTAGCAGCTTTTCTTCAGCTGTGTAACACGTTGTTGCCTCTAGCCGTTTAGCGCTATTCACGTTGTAACGCTGTAAATTTTTTGACACGTATCGCATTTTTTTATGATATACTACGTGGAACGTATATCTTTACAAGATATTTACTTTGTCCCGCTTTATATCTTACAACGTGTTAGAGATAAACTATATCGAAGGACTCAGGCGCAAAAAGAAATAAATCTTTCTTCTGTGTTTAGTTTGCAGGAAAAAAAATCACAAACTTACCTGCAAGGAGGCAAGGCACAGTCTCTGAAACGTAAGAGACGTACAACAGAACTTTCTGAAGATTCAGAAAATATATATCCACCTAGTAAAGTACCCACACTGTCGCACGTCTCGTATGCGGAATCTTGTCACGTCGCACACTCGGTAGATGCTGCGTGCACTCCCCAACATCAGACATCTCCGTTAAAGGAGCAGCAGGAGCCAGCTACGTGGTCAGAATTAAGAACCGCAACTTGTTTCTTAACGCCTTCAGCCTCCAACAGCACGTCCGTTAGACCTAGTCCATTGCCGTCCCTTCCATGGGCCGATGGCTCTCAAGTATGGTCCCTCATGTGTCTTGGGGATCAGAAAACTATAATTCAGAGGGATCCAGAAATGTTTCAAAGGCACCCAACGTTGCAGCCACGGATGAGAGCAATTTTATTAGATTGGTTAATCGAGGTCTGCGAGGTGTATAAATTACATAGAGAAACTTATTATCTTGCTATGGATTATATAGACAGATATTTGTCTATTCATCATGACGTACCTAAAAATCAATTGCAACTTATAGGAATAACTTGTCTTTTTATCGCTTCTAAGGTTTGTAAATTTTTTTATTTTTAATTATGTTACAATAGTGATATATCAAATAGTCAAAACGAAACAAGTGAATAAAATTTTATTTTTTTGCATTTTGCATTTTACTTTTGCAATCTGAAAATATATTTATGTTTAGCAAGGCAGATAAATTACAATTAAGAAATAAAATAAAAAATAAAATAATTTTGCAGGTTGAAGAGATATATCCGCCTAAAATCGCAGACTTTGCATATGTCACCGATGGAGCCTGTACGGAAGAAGAAATTTTAGGAAAGGAGTTAATGATCTTGAAAGGACTTGGATGGAATCTTTCCCCGATAACCGCCCCAGGATGGCTCAATATTTACATGCAGATTGAATCGGGCGATTCGTCCAGACCAAACACTTTCATATATCCACAGTACGGTGGATTGCAATATTCTCAAGCAGCTCAACTATTAGATCTGGCGACTTTGGATGAAGGTTGTTTGAAGTTTTCGTACAGCCACATAGCTGCAGCAGCAATTTATCACACCCAAGGAAGGGAATGCGCATTAAGGGTATCCCGCGTGTCGTGGGAACAGCTCATGCCTTGTGTCAAGTGGCTTACAGCGTTCGCTACTACCGTCGCCGAAGAGGAATCCCAGTCTCTTTTACGATCCACCATTACTCCCGTAGAATCACATTCTGGATCCGGACTGAAGGCCACTGTACCTAATATCGTTGTGGACGAATCGCATCGCATACAGACTCACGTGGTCGATTTGAACATGTTGGAAAAGGCACAGCAACGATTAGCCGGAGAAATCCCGAGCGGTTATGTGAACGATTCAGACACGAATGTTGAATCCGGTAGGCAGAGCCCAAACGAGAGTGGCCTTTTAACCCCGCCATCTAGTAATCAAAAAAATTCTCCATTGTCGACATGCCCTACACCACAGTTACACCCTTATACATAACTAAATATTTGCAATCGCTTCGTATACTAGATATATGGTAAATTTGTTATATTTACTATATAGCCGTAAATTACAGCACAATACGTCTTATAGAAAGATGAAATATTTTGGAAAAGGCGCGTGCAGAAATGCTGATAACATTGAACGTTGTGACACGTTATTGTAAATAATACGAAGTTTCTTAATCGCATCCTTCGTACCGAACGATTGTACTTTTGTAATAACAATAAGACTCAGTACAAGATATCAAGCATTTTTCAAGTAATAAGGCACAATTAATTCAACATCACTTATTTAATTACAGACACTTGATAAAGTGCTTTGTGACTTTGCATGATTTACAAATGCCTCACAAAGCACATTTATGATTTGAAGTAGCAGCCATACGGCCCATACGTGACTGCTTTTTGTGATTATACCTAATACAGTGAAATTTCTCACATCTTATATTAACAACGTGTATTAGGCTCGATTTGTCTTTACTGCTTTATAAACTTTATTAACGTAAGAGAAATACTAGTGCCTGCAACAAGTGTCCTTAAATAATAATTATTTCTATCTATTTTGAAAGAGAGCATTGTGAATAGTATTCTTTTATACAACTCGCTTTATATTGTAATACATTGTATTACGGCAGTGCGTTACCTGGCCGAATGAATGCATTTTTATTATGTATATTGAAATTCTATTGAAAACAATCTTTATATCCTTAAATTGAGAACGAATGGCGAGAGGGATGAATGACAGGATTGAGTATGACGGTTAATTAAAATTAAAAAAAAAAAAAGACTAATAATCTTTAAATTAGCATTAAAATTTTGTGGTGAATTTGTACTGCCTGGCATGTAATAACGTGGCGGTTTATACATATTTGTATGGTGAGTTTGACAATAAATATTTTGCAAACTTACGATATATATTGTGAAAAAAGTTTTATTTCTTATCTCTTCAAACTACTGCTAATTCATTTATAATTTTATACTTGAACAAAATGAATCCATATCCATCCTACAGTCTTGGCGGACTGAATGAATGACAAAGTTGTGAGGTAAGCGAAAAAATCGGGAAGGATCGCGCGTTCAAAGTGAATGAAACAATCTGATAGCCGTCTTCGAGTCATCTAGTCTCTCTATATAGTCCTATATATTTCCTGTTTTAAATAATAGATTCGAACGATAACAAATCGGAAAGAGAATTTAGTCGAGCACGACTGATGGCCATCGATCGATGCCGGGCAGGGGCGGGAAGAATCCGCTGACTCTTGATTTTAAATTGAACGACGATCGATTAATATCGCGGCTCGCGGATCGCGACGCGTTCGATAGTACTGTCTTACCGACAGGAAGGATCGAGTGGCGCCACTGGCACCGTGTCGCCTGGCTAAACTCAACGGCGCATTCTGATTCGCCACCGCATAACCGCATTCGCATTCAAGTTTCTCAAACGACTTGCAGCCGTTAGGCCACTTGGGCCGTTACTGTCGTTAGTCGGACGATCGTGAAGGTGAAGCTGCGTGATGCGTGAATCGCGCAACGAATTCGCTCGCTGATTGCTCAGGACGCTCAGCTCGTACGGTACGGTGGTGTCGGTGGTACGGACCGGTTGTGAACGGTGGTGTGGACTGTGGAGTGGACTCGTGGACTGTGGAGGTGGAGGTTGAACGCGCTAGGAATCTACATCGAAAGCGGCCGGGCGAAGTGTTTGCCGGATTCTGCATTCTGATGTCAGTGCCAGTCTGCCAGCACTGCCACTACTGCCAGTGACACTCCGACTCCGAATAACAGAAGTACGAGTGCAAACACGCCTCTGCGGGAATTTTCTTTGTTCTCGAAAACACAAGTCTAGAAAGCGAAAGTGCTGCGAGCTTCGTCTTCGCCGTTCTCAAGCGTCTCCGTAAGTAAACTAGTAAAGCCAAAACAAACTTCTTATCGATCGCGATCTTTCGCCAAGTATTGATTCAAAAGAGGAACGAGGGACGAGACTCTCAATTCCATCAGCAGAATTTATAAGACGTTGCCTTATCATTCGCCAAATTGTCGTAATTTATTTATTTATTTATTTATTTATTTATTTATTTTTTTATATATATAAAAAGAATCTACACTTGAAAAGTAAATCTAATAAAAATGTGTATATATATATATTTTTTTTTATCTATTTTATACAAAAAACATATTTCCTGTCGGAATAAAACATTTAAATATTTCGACTGGCTGCATTCCGATATTGACTGTCAGTACTGCAAATTTATATTTTACGTCACGTATACTATAGATTTTCAGTACTGAAAGTTGCTGACAGTGAATATCGGAATGCAGCCTTATTTCTAACATTCATTCATTCATTCATTCATTCATCTTTATTTTTAATCACAATAAAAATCATAATAAAATTTCATACCAGGAAATCAAGACAAATATTTGGCGTATCGAAGAAAAAGTCTGAGAATGTCGAGCCCAAGAGGATATGCTCGCGAAGGCGAAAGAATCGTATTGAAAGAAATAACCGCGACCCTCCAGAATTCTTCACCGATTCAGCTCTCTCGACGAAAGGTACTGTTAATGAATTGTCAAATGTTTTTTATCATTTTAGAGCACCGTTTTTAATTTAATTTAATTTTTTGTCAAATATTTATTTACTCAAGAGAAAATTATTCCGACGATGAGAGAAAAGCATGAGGGGAATGTTGTTGTGCACTTCCGCGACGATACTTTTCTCACATTTGTTTGCGTGAAATTAATAACAAGTACGCTTTTAGGAAATGCGACTTATGCGACGACGGTCAACGCGACGCACAGCTCGCTCTTATCGTCCGCATGTTCTCTTTACATCCTCCTTCGCGCTTCCTTCTTCGTTTACACGGCTGACAGTCAGACCGGAGAGAATGTATTTCTATAAATAAACTCTGTATCTCCAGAAGTACCTTGAAACAAAAATAAGTTTCGCTTTCCGCCACGTGAGAGCATTTCTTTGATGCGTATGAGGAACACGGATTTGTTCGTGGGTAATTTTTATTTCGATTCGGATTACTTTTTAGAATTAAATTTCTCCGTTTCCTCTCCAATGAGATCTCTTTTCATTCGGAAAACTGTCATATTTCTCTATACTACGTGATATAAATTGAAATATTTACAACTGAGGGCAATGCTTTGTTCGCCATGTATCTCTTTGCGTCGTGAGTCGAGAATGAACGTGACGGTATAATTATCTATTACCTATTCGCACATGCATTAATGTAGCATCTATATTGCAGATGTTGATTGACGATGTAAGAGATACTTTCATTTTCACCGACGTGTCTCTCCGATGCTCTTCGTGCTGACGATATCCTTTGATGTTCCTTCGTTTTGTCTGGATTGTCTGGAATGGCTTTTCCAGGGCTTCCAGGCTCTTCCAAGCTTCCAGCTCTTCTTGCCAAGCATCCTTGCCTTATCACACGATGCTCCGTTACCAAGTGTATCCCCATCGCTCCAGATAGCGCCACGCCGGTTGCGCGACTCTTACGCGGCTCGATGGCCGAGAATCCTGTTCCCACCACTTCCATAGTTGGTGATCTTTGCGGCACAATGTCCGTACGGCGTGTGCGCGGCTGGACGGTATGGCTCGGTGCAGCTAGTGTTAGTACGCATCGTCGTGGCATGGTGGAGACGATGTTACTCGCGGTGCAGCTTTTGCCGAAAGTCCGGTCAACGCGCGACGTCGTGTGAAGCTTTCCTTAAAGGATTTCTAATTTAGTTTGTAAAAGGTGAGGCGATTCCCCGTTATCTTATCCTTTCTCTCGTTCTCTTCCTCTTCCTCTTCAACGATTTCTCGCGCGTGCACATGCACGTACATGCGTCGTGCTGCCGCGAGTGTGTCGATCCGACGATGACGGCAGCAGCAGTGGACGCGGTGGTAGTGGTGGTGGTGGTGGTCGTCGTCGTCCGTGGTGGTAGTAGCAGCAGCAGCGATAGGTATTAGTAGTGATGGCGGTGGATGTCTGGAGTATCGACTAGGAAACGCGCCGGGCTAATATTAGAATTTTGACGAGAGATATCTGTCGTTCATCTCCCGCCACGGATCTTGATTTTGGGTCCGTTTTCGCGAAACGTCATTTTTCCTCCCTGGAACAGATGTCTTATAAGAACATCTCATTGTGCATTTCTAATGCGTGACTTCAGAAATATGTCATAGCGATAGGTGTCGTGTATTTCGATCGATTGGGAAATACTTGATTTAATATTTGTCACGTTATATAGTTTTATCAATCGCTTTCTTTTACTTGATTTTTTCTGCTTCTTTTCTTTTTCTTTTTGTATATCGTTTTATTTATGTCTGTTATCGTCATTACTCGTTATTTTCTCTTTTCGTTTTCGTTAATGATCGCTCTTTTAGCATAGCATACTCTTTCTCCTATTAATTGATCTTATTCTACAGATCACACGTATTTATCTGTCTATGATTTTTGGGATTATGTAATTATCTTCATAATTTTCTATTAACCTTATAATCATTTGATAATACTTCTCTATTATCAAATTTATGTATATATATTTTTGAGTCTTTTTTCCAAAGGTCAATATCCGACCTAGTATAATGACGTAATATAAATGCGATAAGAATTGCGTGTGCCTCTTTATAAAGTTTCTTTTTATGTTGCATGCGTTTAAAAAAAAAATATATATTAGAAACATCATCGCTTGCATCAAAGTGTTAAGTGCTGCGCTTAAGTATGCGTCAAGAGCTAAAGAGAGGGTTGCTTATCTTAGAGGGATGAGAGAGACACACCCCGAGATAGTGATGAAGCCTCTGTTAGCGCGGTCAAATGAGAATGAGTCATTCCGACGGTTGCGTTGCAATCTTGATGATGTCAAGAGCACGCCGAATAAGGACTCGCGAGAGATTCGTGTCTCGTAGTAAATTAGATTGTTATTTTTTACGTTATACTCTTCGTTTATTGACCTCATTTCCAGAAAAATAGATTTGTGCTTTTGCCTGGTTTTGCATCCGGTGATGCAATCCTCGTTTTCTATTTCTGAAAATAAATAATATTGGTAAACAGATTTTTTTTTTAAATATAATAATCATAGTTATATTACACGTTTTACTGGCCATTATAATGATTACAATGATATCATGCTTATTGATATTTGAAGAAAAAAGCGAGACCATAAAAAACATTGATATTCATCCAGCTAAGAAATGAAATAGAAATGGACCGAATACCGTATAGTGTCGAAAGCTATAGGTAGTGTTTGGAATAATAAGGCTTAATGTTTGTGTATTAATTTCAAAATTATTCGAGCGCGGAGGATAATCGTGTCAAGGGTAAAAACATAGAAGGAGAAGTGAAACCGTCTTACCGTGGGGTTCTTTGAACTCGCGTGTAAATATGGGACCACGTTGTGCGCTAGGGACAGTCAATAGTAGAGGTTCGTCGAAAAAGTCATGGGAAATCTTCTTTCAACGGTAATTTTATGATACGTAATAATGTGCAATAATTATTTCTTTAACTGTACATCTCATTAGTCGTGCTACGCGAGGATAATTGCTCGATAGCAAAAATACTAATAATAAATTGGTCAATTACTGCATAAAATAAAATTGTTTATAAATATTATTTCTCAACCAGAAAGTTAGAATATTTGTTGTTTATTTTCTGTTCATTTCCACAGTAATGTAGTATTAATTTATATCAATAAAGCAAATGCGTAATAGTAGCCGAACATTATCTCTAACGAGTCTATGTATCGATGAATTAAATTTTATGATAGTGTTTTTGAGAAAACCTTATAGTCTTGTAGTGACTATGTTATTCTGTATTTAATCATCGTACCTTATAACGTTACCGTTATATCGCACTTTGCTGCAAATTAACGAATGTCCACGATTGTCAGCATCTCTTTGCCCGGAGCGAAGCTGCTTTAAAGCAGCTGTAGCGTTATCGAGACAGATACTTCCGAGACAGTAGTTGTCGTCGTCTTGCAAAAGCGAGCGGAACTGACACAACCAAGGCCTTTCTCTCTCGATGTCTTATAATTAGCCTGAGCGAGGCGTGAAGTGATTGCGCAATTTCTTTTACGAAAATCGCCAGATCTCGAATTGTCAGCTGACTTAACAAAGACGTAGTCGTAAAGTCGTCAGTAAGCGTTGATATTTCGCAGACTGTAGATCGGTTGCAACTGGCGTAATATGGAGTATATCCATAAACTTCTGCATCGTGCCACGAGCCCAAGAACGTCTCCTTCGCCCACGCCGACGGTATATTGCGTCGCATACGCTTTTAAAGACGTTTTCTGTCAAACTCACGGATTAGACGACAATTATGTGTCGACAATCATATGACATGATGTTTTGTTTAAAAGAGAGGAAAAAGGTACGCTTGTATCCTAATGCGTTTTTTTTATTTTCAGAGCGGCAACGATAGTCCCGTGACTGTCCCGAAGACAACAGAGCATGAGATCAAGGTTCGTTTTGCCCGTGAGTTTGCCGATGTAGGATCGGTCACGGAAAATCTCTGCTTGGCGCCGGAGAGTCTGTCGTCGGCCAGCAGTTTCCATAGTCTCAGCAGCACTCTCAGTACCAAGAGCAGTAGCGGCATATGCCCCGATTCGACACCCGAAACTCCAGATGACGCCGCAGATATATCATATGTGAACTCCAATATACCTGGTGTAGAGGACTTGATTCTCGCGTGTGCAGACATCCATCTGGGAAGTGAATACGACAGTCAGGATCTCAGTCAAGATCAGACCTTTGCATCGGCCACAGACGAGACACCGTTTCCCACAAGCGATTGTTCCCTTAACGAAGATTTATTGGACAGCACCGATAACCAAACACAAGTGATTGAGACGAGTTCTCAATTACATGGGACAACGTCCTTGAATCAAACGCATATTTTGGGATCGCCCAATAACACACTTCCCGTTCAAGATTCACAGTTCGTGATTTCATATCCTCCTGCGGAAGAATACGTACTACAAGTAGAAGAATCGATCGATAAGCATATTCCACTACAGGAAAGTGCTAATATAGTGAGCGAGCTTGAAACGTGCAACGTTGCGAGTAGTATTGTAAAAGATTCACTGCCAACAAGTAATGTGAATGATGATCAGTTGAATATAACAACTACCGTTTCAACTGGTAATATAACTTTCAATGTGATCGCGCTTAGCGAAGAACAGGCAATAGAAAACGATTGCACCTCCGAAATATTACCTTTAAAAGATCCACAGTTGTGTCCTACCGAAATTTCTGTTCCGTCCATATCCTCATTAGCGCAATATGCAGATCTTTCGTTACCTAGTATATCCAGTATATCGTCGCCATTAGAAGATACTGATAGTAACGCGAAAGAAACGGGTGTACAGGCTTTATCGGAACCTAAGCAAGATACATCAACAGTATTGTCACCTTCTGACAATCTCGATCAAAAATTATCGCAAATAACTGTAAATAATTCTGTTGATGAAGCAGAAAAGAACGAAATTATCAAAGAAGAGTTGCCTCAATTGGATAATTGCATTGTGTCAGATAAAAAAGATAACATACAATTACTAAATAAGACTAGTATTATAGAACCAAACACTTTGGAAGCTAAACAGGAGGAAAACTTACAGACGAGTATCGATAAAAAAGATTTAGAGACCGAGAATAACGTGGTATTGAATGAAATACAGAAGTTAATTGAAGAAGAAATTGCCATATGTAATGAGACCCGTGTTATAGATAAACAATGTAATTTATCAGAAACTGTAATTATAGAAAAAGAAAAATATATTGCGGAGGGTGCAGCTGTGTCGAGTGCTGTTAAAGAAGAAACATCCGTTGAAGAAGAACTCGATCGTACGCTTACTTTACAAGAGATAGATATAAACTTTGAACCTGATGAAGAACAGTACGAGGAATTTAAACCTCAACGACAAAGTACTACATTGTCGTCATTGATTAATGCAGAGTCGTATTTTGAGGAATTGAAATCTACAGTTGACAAAGTTACTAGTGAGCTACTCAATCCTTCACTGGAGCACACGGACGACACAGATCAATTTGTGAGCGCAACATCTGAAAGTAAGTACAAATTACATTAGAAGCTCTTTAAACTTTTTTGTGATTTTATTATTGAAATTTATTAATTACATGAATATTGTTTTTAGTTTTCCAGGATCCTTCGACATTTGATTTCTTGTTAGCACGAAGTAATTCTACGCATTCAAATCGTCTTAGAGCGGAATCTTTGTATGTTAAATTTGACCCTTTGGTATCGAACATCAGCATGTTGCCTCAAGGAAATACCCAAACGATAAACGAAGACAAAAATGGCAAAAATGAGTCGCCACTTCCTGATGTCGGTACACCAAAACGTAATCCTGCCATAGCAGCTATAGACAGACTGCTTTTTTATAGTCCTCTTCCTAATGCAACAGTGCAAAAGTCAGAGGAAGCGCAAGAAAAAAATGTAGGTAAAAGTGACTATTGACTATTATGTGCTCTAATTGTTATGTGAAGTATATAATGAAGTACATGAGAGTATATTAAAAGCAAATTATTTTTCAGGAACAACCGGCAGAAGCGCCTAAATCTGACGCACCACTTATTGATCATATAGATATGAGTAAAGAACTTGAACTTGTAAGAACGACGGTACTACAATTGGAGGAAGAATTAGAGAAACAGAAGAAAGAGCATGAAGCAGAATTGGAAAGACAGAAAGCAGAATTGGAAAGACAGAAAGCAGAATTGGAAAGACAGAAAGCAGAATTCGAAAGACAGAAAGCAACCTTTCAGGAAAAAATTAATAAATTACAGGCACAAATGTCACAAGAGATAAAAACCAAGACCCAGATGACGTAAGTGATATACTAAATACTAACAATAAGTAAATAGATTTGTTAAGATTGAATAAAATATGAAAATAATTGATTTAGGGTTGTTGTGGAAGAGTACGAAAAGTCAATTAGCAGATTACTCACGGAGCGGGAAAGGGATCGTACAAGCCTCGAACAAGACAAGGCAAAATTGCAAGAAGAATTGCAAGCTGCAAACCATCATCTAACTAATACGGAAGCAGCGTTTAACGACGTCCACCAAAAGTATGAGAGACTCAAAGGAGTTGTATCGGCGTATAAAAGTAACGAAACTGTATTAAAAGAAAGTATCCAAGAAAATGTAGAAACCATAAAAACATTGGAAACACGATACGATCAGCTCAAGGAACATGCAATGACTCAACTAGAAAAGTATGCATAGATAATATCATCGTATAATATTTCTCGCGGAAAAACATATATCACACATATTAATATATGTATATTTTAATATATTTTAGAGCTAATTTGGAGTTGGATGGAATACGAAAACAGAACGAAGCAGAAACAGTGAAGCTGCATGCGATGATAAGGAAAGCAGAGCTTAAAAGCAATTCGCTCGCTGAGCTTGTAGAACAGAAAACGAAGGAAAACAAAGAACTCGCGAAAATCCTAGACGAAGTTATCGCCAGGGTTGGTCACGGAAACTCTGATTGAAAATCAAGTATCGCGATTAGTCTTTATTTTTTTACTTGTCCTTACTATCTTAAATACAAACTTAAATATGTTAGATACGATTGATGTATGGATGTGCATTAACTCGTAAAGTTAGTGCGTAAAATTGCGTTTTGCTTCAGGAAAACGTCTTTTATTAATTATTTATAAGTTGTGAAATATAACTATTTTAAAGCTAATAAAACTATGCTTATTAAAAACACACTTTTATTTATACGATAAAAAATGTTTAATTACCCTGCGCATGTGGGTGTAACAACATACAAATCCCATTTTTAAATCTTACATTTTACCTTATATTATTAAGTTATATAAAAGTTATAGTGTAAACACATGTCGGCTAAAGGTACAAGCACCTATATATTTGGTCATTTTAAATGTCCTGTTTGCCAAAAAGCAAATTTTTTATGCAACTTGATGAATTTTACTATTAATTGTACTAACGAGTACTGTCAATCTATTGGCCTGGTATCGACAAGAAACAGTACGTGATGCTTGGCTAGTTTTAACATGCGATCACTCGTACTTCCCGGTTTCCGCGGAATATTTCGATTTTCAAGATCAGGCATAAATTTTTTTATTGTGCGTGCCAAGTTTGCGGCGTATTGTTTAAATTTCGGGTGACTCATGCCAATTCCTTTGCTTCGCAGGGCCTCCGCAACCGCCCAAAGTAATTTCTAGAAATAAGTAAGAAAAATTATATTGTCAATGTATAGTGTATTAAAGTAAATAGAAAACACAGCTAATACACAAACCTTTTTATGAGTATTGCTCAGTTCATTCTTTCCTTGACTGAAAGACGTTTCATTTTTCGAGAGAATACTACTCGATGAATGTCTATCCCATATAACCTTTGAGGTATTCTTTAATTCGTGCGTGCAGTCAAATGATAAACTTTTCGCCCATTTTAATCGTGGCCCTTGTAATTCTTCCTCGCACTTTCTTTTTCTACTTTCTTCTCTTAAAGACGTTCGTTTCGCATCTTCAGATTCGTTCTTTTTCGGCGTTGTAAATAAAACGCGTTTAATTTTTTGAGGATCTGTGTTATTTGTACCGAATACGTTGCTAGGGCCAGGATGATCTGATGGGGGGCTTTGAAATAACGCACGTTTCGAAGTTTCTAATTTGGATTTATACGGACTTGACTCATCTAACATTAATCTTCGAACGACTTTCTTTTTTGCTGAACTCCTTGGGCTTTTACCTCGAGGACTCTTACCTCTTGGACTTTTACCACGTAAACTTTTACCTCTTGGACTTTTTCCTTTTTTATGTGTAAGTTTCCTACATTTTATATCGAGATTTATTATATAAAATTATGCTCTCGGTTAATTATCATATTTTTGATGAAATACATACTTAATTGGTATCATTAACTGCCTTTTATCAGCAAGTCCCAATCCTTGCAAATTAGCGCTGCAAAAAGTCCTACGTCTTTTGGCTAAGTGCGTCAATCTCTTCTCTGGACTTTGACCGTTTCCGCGTTTTATCAATAAACTTCGCTTTCTCGCACTTCCCGGTGGCTGTTTCGAAAACCATATATTACAAGTAGATTGCGTCTCAGCTCCTATGTACCTTTCACATAATTTAACCGTTAAGTTTTCAAACTCTTCTACAGTTCTGCTTCTGTTATAACTAAAATTAAAAAAAAAATAGCATTAAAAGGATAGAATTGCATACTTTATGGTAAATTAAAACTCACTGTAAACTCACTGTATGCCATGGAACTTGTGCGAGTAAGCCTGAGGCCACGTTAAAGCTTTAACCTCTTTTTCGTCAATCGTTTGATAAAGAAGAGGAGATTGCTCGTGAGATACGTCTGCATTGTCTCCAACTGGTGGAACTTGGACTGTTGCTTCAATCGTATTAACTGAATTCTTTATCTCCTTAGAAACACCGTGTTGTACATTCGAGTTTGGGCTATCATTCTTGGTTAAGCCTGATTTGGTGGCTTCTGTACTATTAGCTGGCAAATCACAAGCGTCAAAGGCATTTGTCAAATTCCGCGGAGTGCCTTTTGTGCATTGATAAGAAACATTCCTATCGTTAGTTTCTGTGGTTCTCTGCTCCTCGGGTTTTGTGCTTTCCGTAGATTCTGAATCTCCATTGGACAATGGATATCCGTTACAGAATAATTGACGATTTTCATAAATGTGTTGCAAAAAATCAGAACAATCGCTCTGACACGTCGTATGTCTTGGCGGAGGTGGGACACCGCTCAAATACTTGTTAATTCTAACCAGCATGTAACTATCCGATTTTGCGATCAATTCAGCCCGAGTTGGTTCTCGAGGCGCCATCACCGTCAATCTACCATTGTCAGCTAGCGTGTCAATATTTCTGTTATCTGTATCACTTTCGGTGTCACTGTCAAACATTTCTGGACTAGAGACATTTGGGAATGTCTCCGTAATTTGGGAGCTCTCATATTGATTGGCAAAACAGCAATCCATATAGTTTTCTAAAAATTCAGAAAATTATTATTGTGCTGAATGTTGTAATAAATTTAACAATATGCAACCTATCAGATTTGTTTTTTTTTTTTTTTTTAATGCATGTGCTCATACGGTGCCTTATTTGCGGGCAAACCTTTTCTCGTTTTTGTACATTTCCCAAATTTTACTAATTCTGGCATATCATTCTACTGATAATATTTCGTGAAAATACTTAAAAGTACATCGCGATATGAATCGGAACGTGCAGCTGATAACTGATTGTGAGCGAAACGCCACATTCGCTACATCGTAATATTAATAATGCGTCAGATGTGTACATGTACGCACGATGTATGTACCATGTATGTGTATACTTACGTTCCAGTATTATGACAGCCGAAAGATTCGCGTTCTTCTGCCTTCACATACGTCTGTTCCTTCGGTGGCACAAAATATCGCTCCACGAGGAGCTTCGTTCGGTAACGTACTGGCTACAGGCTACAGGCTTATTTGTTTTTCGAATCTCCGCGAGTCAAGATAACTCCGTTCCGCTGTTGCGTAGTGCGTACTGCTCACTGCTCCCCTCTCCATATCCTCGTATACTCGACTATTCGCCAAACAAGATCGTGATCATCGTGATGATGTGACGAAGGTTCACGAAGGTTAGGTTAGGTTAGGAAGGATTCACCCACCGCGTCCGCGCGTCCGGCGACTCCGGCGTCCAGTGTGAACTGTGACCAGGTTCTCTCGCCGTCATTGGTCGGCCTCGGGCCTACTTCGTCACCTCGTAATTACATTTATGGCTGTTCGAATTGGACTAAAATATTCTACTGGAATCTTTTTCGCGTTGGTATCCCTGCGTCAGTACGTCACACTGTCACACAACTCTTTAGAACATATACATACATACATACACGTGTCTAAACACGACTCGCGCTCGTCACGTTATTCACTATTCACGTCCGTGCTCCGTGCCCCGTGGAAGAAACTTTGTGGTTATCTTTTACAAATGGCGACTTACGGTAAGACACGCCGTGCCGTATAACCCGCAACCCGTAAGATTAGTCCGGCTCGTTTTTGTCGTGTAAATAAACGTTGAAGCGTTCGGCGCGACGTATCCGATTCAACGATTGGACGAAAAGCGATCCTCGACGCGCAACGTATTCGATAATCTTGTGCTAACTATTCCGTAATAATGGGAAACGCGATGGCCGCCTCCGCACCTCCTCCACCGCCACCTCCGCCACCGGGTCCCGGACTAATGCCGAATTTAGGGAAACCGGACCCTTCGACGGATGTCTACGCGCCTACCGAGGCGCCCAGCCAGATCGAGAACCCGGGTACCATCGAGGATTTGCACAAAAAGTGTAAAGGTAAGGTACCTCGTCAGAGTGCATGCCACGACCCTACTCGAGTACTCCCCGCTTTCTCCTTCGTGTTTTTCCATTTTATCACAGAAAACTTCCTAGTAGATTGTTCGCTTGACAATCAACAATTGATGTATAACTTTTCCTATTCAAATAGCTTTCCACTTAGTACTTTCACTTATTATTATATTTTCTTATAATTTTTTATATATTACTTTTATGTTCTGTACTTTGTGCTCTGTCATTAAACAATAAGTTACAATTTGTGATTTTTATGTCCAGGGTTCGGTTTAATCTGTCCTCGGCGATATCTCGAAAACTATCAAAGTTAGATGAAAAAAGAAGTTTTTATTTGAAAAATTTGACTACCTCTTCCATCCTCGAAATCTAATATGGAAGGGTACAGTTGCATCATACTAAAAATCATCTCAAAGTAATCCCATTGAAGGGGCTATTTTAATTTTTCGCCTAACTTGGATAGAATCCAAGATATCGACGTGGACAGATTAAACTGAACACCCTGTGTGTATATTACTTCGTCTTACGTAGAAAAAGTCTGTGATTACGTTTATATTTTACAGATATATTTCCTACAAATTTTGAAGGAGCAAAACTGGTAGTCAATAAGGGATTGAGTAATCATTTTCATATTTCACATACTATTAATATGAGTTCTGTATCACCATCTGGCTACAGGTAAATCAGCATCTTAGATGGAAATATTTGCTGTTAATATTAATGCGTTTTACAATATAAACCCATATTATTTATTTTTTTTCCAGATTTGGCGCGACTTATGTCGGTACAAAACAAATTTCACCTACGGAAGCGTATCCTATATTATTGGGCGATATTGATTCAAGTGGAAATCTTAATGCCAATGTTCTTCATCAGTTTGGTTCAAGACTCAAAGGAAAATTGGCAGCGCAAGTGCAAAGAAATAAATATACCGCTGTACAAATGACAGCTGATTATCGAGGGGATGCATATACCTGTTCGTTAACGCTAGGCAATCCAGACATTCTTAATGGCTCTGGTAGGTTGCTGATATAAAAAATATTTTGGGGCTGAGTGTGCTTGTTGCGTGGTGATGGATGGAGAGGAGTAAGTGTACGATTGGATGAAATGTGTTTTCCAAAATATTTACGACTCTGCGAGTCGTAAATATGATGGTGACTCCACTGGTACGTGCCCACTTCGACTCTTGGTTCGAGCGTCGATCAGCTGATAAAGGCAATGAGCATTTTTGCTGAATTTGTTTATATACTTAGTTAGCGGAACCAGGCGCTCGCGAGTAAGCGCATTTGCCATCTTGATAGGGGCACACGCGGCCACCACAATATCACATGTGTTGTAAAAATTTTATGTATGTTATCTAAATGTTAAATATTGCAAATATATTTTCAGGTGTCCTTGTTTTACACTATCTTCAAAGCTTGACACCATCGCTTTCATTGGGCGGTGAGCTTGCGTACCAACGTGGGCCTGCTATACCAGGCGGACAAGTTGCATTATTATCCGCTGCAGGAAGATATACGAGTGGTGACTCTACATTCAGCGGTAGCATTAGTAAGTAGTTGTTATTGTCCTGATAAACTTATACGATTTCTTCGTTTTTTAAATAATTATTTTCCAAGGTACATCCGCTTGCCACCTCTGTTTCTATCAAAGAGCTAGTCAACAGTTACAAATGGGTGTGGAGTTAGAAATTAATGCGCGAATGCAAGAATCGACGGCAACGCTTGCCTATCAAGTCGATTTACCTAAAGCAGATTTAGTGTTTAAAGGTATGTATTCAAAATTACTTTAGAGACATAACAATTTTATCCAATTCTCTAATTTCTATTTAATTTCTGATATTATAGGTAGCGTAGATACGACTTGGACAGTAGGAGCAGTTTTAGAAAAGAGATTACAACCATTACCATTCTCATTTGCGCTCAGTGGTATGCTCAATCACAACAAGCAGCAATTTAGATTAGGTTGTGGCCTAATCATCGGTTAAGAACAATGCGAAGCTATGCAATTTTCAAGGAAATCGGGGATTACGCTTTGTGCAGCCGGACAGTCACGTAATCTTAGGATCAATGCCATATCGACTTCTTTCTGACTTTAGTGGTTATCAGGGCATATTGTTTCGTTAAAAATACAACCCATGTTAAACGATCGTGTTAATTTGATTAAAAGATCTATACGAATTTCCAAATTGGATTTCTCGTTTTAACACACCGTCTACGTTTTTTTTTATTTCTGTCTATAGCACGTTGCTATTGAGATATTCATTACATAACTTTTTTACATTAATATTCTATCCATCATAAAATTTTAAGTATATTTTTGTGAATAAAATATAACACCGTAGCATGACAAAATTAATATTTAATTTTTAACATATTGTCAACATTTTGAACAATTACTAAAAACAAATGCGCTAATTTTTTATATTAAGTCAGATATTAAGATTAATGATCAAGTTGCAAATGCTAAGTGTGAAAAATTCATTTGTATAGTTGAAACAAAAACGTTGAAAAATAATTGATTCAATTTTATTTACTATATTAATTTCGTTAAACGAATGATATTGTTATAAATATCCCATAATCAAAGATGTAGAAGTATATTACAAAGTAGTGGAGTCACCGAACTAAATTTGCTTGGTGTTATTTTCCGAACGTATTGATCTATTTCCCGAAATTTTCTATTTACAAATAGAAACCGAATATACATGGCTTTAACTTTAATTATATGTAATTTCAGCATTTACTTGAGTAATACGTGTCTTAGTTACAAATGCAACGCAATGCATTTATCATATAAATCATGTAGACAGTTCTATTTCATGTATTATTTATATAAATTGCTGAATGTAATCATTACGTTGATATAGATCTCCTGTTGAAAATTTGCAATTTACGAAAAAACAAATAATTTGTGAACATTCATGTTTATAATTGATTGTAAATATGTCAGATGAAAATATGACGTAATATTATGTGCCACAACTAAAACAATATAATGATTAGGAGGTAATATTTGCTTTGTACTGACAATGAGATAAAGCATAAGAGATATTTCGATTCACGCGTAAATGTAGCGTCGTAAATTGTAAAGAAATGCGTAATCGTAAAAATTGTTGGCGCAAAACTTACTACAACGCACATTCTCGCGTTAGCGAGAATTCTATTTCAATATAAAATCTTGTTTGTCTGATTGTGAAAAAAAGATAAATAGGAAATAGGAAGTGTACAACCCCCGGTTTGAAGATGCGGCCGCACGCGCGGAAAGATTCAGGGTTTCCTACTCTTTAATCTGTTTGTACATATACAATTTTATTGTAAGTACGGCAGAATAAAGTTGTATATTGTTGAACAAAACTTAAATTAAAAACATCCTTAATTATTGTCCTCTAGATTATAAAATAAAAAAGGATATTTCGCTACGGGTGCGTAGCGTGCTTTATCTTTAGATGAGTTCTTGAGGTCAGGGCATGCAGCTGCGAGTTCATTTCCCGGAGAAAACAATAAGCAATTAGCGCGAGGATCGTTAAAAGCTCATGGTGAACCATGTATATGGTGTGCGTGTTATATTTAAATATAAGCGGTTAAACTCGCCAAATAAATTGAGGCTGACTTGCAAATGTATCGATGCTTTTTACCTGTTAAATACGCGTATCGATACTACTTAAAAATCGAATATTTTCAGCTATTTATGTTACTTGTGGTAAAATTAGGAACAAAAGTTTGCCTCTGCAGTAACGGATGCATGAAGAATTTTTCATCATTTCTCTGATATTGTCGTTGCGATTATTCATCTATATATAGAACTTATAGCGATTGTCTTATTAGGTATTGACTCATTAGTGTCGAACGTATGCCAATTTGAAGCTTGAATCAGCTTGAATGAGGCACTTCTGTCTCTTCCGCGTCTTTAATACTTAAATTTTTTTTTACATATATTTATTCAAATGTTTATAAAGGACGTCGAATAAAGCAACGTTAATCATCCGCAGCTTGCTAAGAAAAGCGTGCAGAGAGTGTTTAATTCTCATTTGCAATTGCAAATTCTAAGCGCTTGTATCTCAAGCCGTCTCAATTTTGAAATATTTTAATTTCGCGCCAGTGATGTCAGTTTCGAGTTTCTGGACGCTGCGCGCTGCCCGCTGCTGCCCGTTGCTAGGCGTGTGGAGGGGGTAGCGCACACAAGGAAGTGAATCAAGTGAATGAAGGAGCCGTGTGTATTGTTTATATACATGTGCGCTTCGCTCCGCGGTATATCGTGAAATTTCTCTGTTAAAAGGGCTTGCAAAGCGAGTTTGTGTCGGGAGTGTCGATAGTTCAGGCGACGGGCGATCTCAAGAATGTATCGGTTACGCCGGTTACGCGTCGAGTGTTCGCGGCAATCGTCGCCGGTTCGTCGACGCGGTCGACGCTGCTCCTGCGACGGTGATCCGTCCGCCGTCGTTCGAAACGGGCATAGTTCCAGTGAGTACAAATTACAAATTCCAATGACATAGAAAATGACGTGCGAAAATAATCCTTATGCTTAATTCTTTCGAGAGAATCGCGCATACTTTTCATTAGATGTAGCATGCCTAAAAATTAGATTGTAATTATATCTCGAGCGCCTATTATATTGCGCCTGATGGAAAATCCGCCACTGAATACAGATCACAGTAGATCGCATCGATATAACGTGCGTCGTGCAACAATACAATTAATTGAATCAATATAATTGTCGAATGAGCGCAAATGGGCGATAGTTTCGTCAAGTGAACTCCGTGCGACCGTAGCGTTCCTACGCTACGCTACACGCACGTCCGCGATACAAATGTTTCGTCGATTTCGTCAAATAAACTCCAGGTGACCATAGATGCCGCGTCGGTAAAAATGCAAACGTGCGATTGTACCAACAAATAAATTTCTTGACCATATGATAATATTACTCATACGATAATAAATTTTTCACAGATTAATCAAGTGCGTGCGATAATTAAGATATATTAACTACATGTAATAATATTTTATTACATGTAGTAATTAGCAATGTTACTTGTACACGTAATTGGCAATAAATATTTATGCATGTAGTAATTAATAGTATTTATATACATACAATGTATGTAATTGGCAGTAATATCGCGATTATTTTCTTTCTTGCCGTGATTACTGCTTTTAGTACGATTGCACAATCGTTTTTTTATAGATTAGAAGCATGAAATTGCCTTATGTAATTGTGATTGTTATAAGATTATGCGTGCATGAGTTAATTGAATATTAGGTTAGAGTAGATTAGAAATGCGAGATTGCTGTTAATGCTATGCCATGGTTATAATTTGAAAGAATTATTTGTCTCGTTTATTCCGAATTTCGGCTTTAAATCGCTGACTTTAAAATTGCATAAAAATAAGTAATATGTAATATCGGTAGCGCCGAAAAAAGTAAAAGATCATCGTTGAAAGAATTGTTTTGTCAGTTGCATAATTAGTGGCATATACAGACAGTAGCGGATTTTCGCACTTTGAGGTCTCTATATTATAAATTCTTAATCTTAAATTAATTTAAAACATTCTACAATAGCGAAGTTCTGGAGGCATCTAATGAAAAGCTTAGCGATCAAACAATCGACTACGATTACGTGCGATCGAACGGTTCGTGAAACCAAGTGCGTTCTATTTCGTATTTTGTATTTTGTATTTTGCATGGTATATTTCGTATACTGCGCGGCGCGGCGTGACGAATATACAAGGCGTGCATGAATCCGCGATTTTCATATCTTTCGAAGGTTTCTTCAAAGGTAGAGTGCGTGAACTTTCAAGTTTATTCAGGGTGTGTTTGTAAGTTAAATGTATTTGTGATTAAATAGTGTGTGTGTGTGTGTGTGTATGTGTTTGTGTGTATATGTGTGTAATTAATATCTATTTCTGTTTCAGCATTTCCTCGATGAAGCTGATACAGATTTTTAAGACGAGCTGATACGGATTTGTGCAACCAGCAGAGCATACTGCAATACGTTAGCTGGTGAGTAAAATTATTTACTAATAATTTAAGTACATATATAACTGTGATGACATGTATATGTAATTGATATTATTTATTATACATTCCAAATCAAATTACTTAAAAATATTTATTGAACAAATTTTTATAAATTCAAAGAGAACTTTGACCAATTTGAGAATCTTCAATTATTTTCAAACAAGTATTCTTGATGAAAATTTAATATAGACCAGAAAAATATCAAATCACGAGTAACTGAATAACTAAATAACTGAATCACTGAATTGAGCCCAGAATATCAATATTATAATAATCATACATTTAATAAATTAAATCAAAATTAAGTAATAAAGTATTTAAATAATTATTTATATATAATTTATTTTACTCTATTTACATAGTTGAGTTTTAGTAAAAATTGATATTAAGGATGGATAAAATATACAAATAGAATATTTATGATAACTATAATATATTTTTTTTTCAGATATAGCTATAGAGCTATTTAGCTAGTGTACAACGACGGTGAGTGAACTTATTTATCATATTTTATTACGCAATCAATTATACATATCATCATGATTTGAATCTTATAACATAATACAACGTTGATTATAGCGATTTCGCCTTTTTAATCAACAGGATAAGAATAAATGATTAGTGATAAATACGATAGCGAATATACTATTCTTTAGTAATATCTTATAATTAGCGTAGTAATGTATCGGATATGCTAGATTAAAAATTGGGTGATCTCATCATATTATATTTATATACAATCAGGAATGAATTTTGACATTTATTATTACCGTCATTATTTGATTCAGAAGCTTTAGGCGCGCGCTTATTGCATCTAATGGAAAATTCGCTCTTAGTTCAAAGTAAAGCGTCTAAAATATCTTGGTAAAATTAATACTTGTGTAGGTACAAATATCATATGAGCTAGTAATAATCAGTTGGCGGATAAATGAATGAACGAACGATCGATCATAAGAACGGACGAATGAATGGACAGGCTTGTCCTTGACAGCCGAGTATCTGTAACCTGGCACTCTCGAAACAGTCGCCGAGCCGTTTGCTTACGCTTCAGCTTCGCCGACCCTGTAAACACTCTTCCCTTTCTTTATATATATACCTTTTATATATTTTAGACCTCCGCTACATGTATATTATTCTTTCAATTTTATTTCATTATTTAGAAAAATGCTTAAACGCAAAATTTACAAAGAGTTAGAAGGTAAGGTAAAGATTTATATGAGTTGAACCAAAGTATATATCTTATATAGAGGACCACGTATATATATATGTAATAGGCGATATATCTTATGTAGAGGACCACGTATATATATATATATATATATATATATATATATATATGTAATAGGCGATATATATTAAAAATTTTCGAATAAGATATTGCGTAATATATTTTAATATTGTCAAACTGTAATTAGTTTTATCTGACAGAAACATTCTTTATATAAAATGATATTTATTAGGTAGATTTAAAGTTTATGCTTAAAAATTTGCATGTGTTTTAATAGAAAATATTCGGCATATAAGTAGTGTGATTACGACAATATTTGGATCGATTGATCCGAATGGATCCAAAAGCATTCCTCGTAAAATTACGTAGCTAATATATAAGAACGCAATAAAATTACATTCCCGCGTGTATAAATTCCAACGGGTCACAAATATATGTAGCGCGAAACGCACAGGAGCCGGCCTCGACGCGTCTGGAAAAGAAGAAGGGGTAGGAGGTGGTCACTAGCCAGCCCCCTCCCCCCTTGCACTGATAAGGACTCGCGCGATAATAACCACCGTGCCGCACCGCGTGGCGATTTTACTACTCCCATACTTTTCTCTAGCATGATTCGCGCTGCTCCTACCACCGCGACTTCGACATAAGGCACCGACTCTCCCCTCTTGAGTCACCACTCTGCTTACGATCACAGCTCGAATTGGTCGTTCTCTCTCACTCTCTGTTTCTCTCTCTCTCTCTCTCTCTCTCTCTGTTCTATTTTACCCTATTCCTTCTGTCACTCTTTCTCTCTCCCTTACTCTCTGCGACTCGTTTCGTCCTACTCTTCGACCTATTCACTCCCCTCTTCGTCTTTCCTTGTCTGTGCGTTCGTTCTCGCGGTATCTTCGTCTCGCCTTCGTCCAACTCGGGCAGCTCGCTAGCAAACTCGCATCGCCTCGGCCATCCGCGGAGCCGCAATTGCTCGCTCGTTTTGCATCTCTCTCTCTCTCTCTCTCACTTATTCTCCTTCTTTCTCTCTTCCCCTTTTGTTTTACCGTCTCTTCTAGCTCTGTTCCTCTACCTCTCATTCCATCTCTTTTCCTCTTCTTGCTCCGTTTGCTCTATGCACATAATATACACGAGCCTCGCTCCCGATCATAGAGCAGTGGCGCGAGTTCTTGTACAGCCAGCAAAAGTCCGGATCTTAAATTTCGTCTAGTCGTCGATCGCAGTGTACACACAGCATCAATCGCTCTTCTGATTTACCGTGCGCGGAAACGAAAAGGCAACACGTGATCCTCTGTGAGGTGAGAATGTCGTCACCCTCGCCGAGTAAAGTGCCAAGTCTCTTTTATAGTGCGAATTTCAGATCGAAAAGCAGCCAAACAAGCTATCAAACAAGAAACCAGAACGCAACGAAGGATAAACACCAAGTGAGCTCAAGCGAGCGAGTAATCGCGAGATGAAGAGAAGGAGCGACGACGATGGCAAACCTGTGGCCAAGTATCGGCATCGAGAATACGGTGAGTACCACTTCCACCTTTCGCGATTCCACCTCGCCTTCTCAGGGAGGATATGTCGAGAAAGGATTCTTTGGCTCGATTGAACGTTCGGCGACCGCGCCGCGACGCCTGACGCGCCCGATCGATCGATTCTTGCTCTGCGATCGCGGGCAAGCATCTTCGAACGTATTTTGACAATGAGATGCAACGTCTGAGATAGCATGTACACAGTGTGTCACTAAAGCGCTCAACTGAGTCGGTGGTCCGCGAGTCACTGGAGGCCAGGGGCCGGTCGTGAAGGATGTATATATGTTGGATATCAGAGTGATAACGCTGCCCCTGGTTTTGCGATAACGCCCGCCAGTATATGCATATACTGCTGGCTGGTACAGCCATCAGTTGCATTCAGCTTCGTTGCGCCCGTCGCGAATGTCCTTTTGACATCTTTCGGCGTTACGTTAGTAAGGGCAACTTGCAACATGGAAATTTTCGATTGTTATTTTAAAACTATTTAAAAAATGTACATATAATGATTTCTCGATTTTCTGATTTTAAAAGTTTCGCGCCAAATTTTAATAATCGTCCTCGATATTTGAATAGAAAAATTTTCTTGTTATACCTAAGTCACATTTCTCTAGAATTTTTGCATTCCAGGTTACATATTTTACTGGCGGTTCGATATCATAAATGTTACTTGAGAGTATAATGTAAAAATTTTACTTAATGCCAGATAATAATCTAGGATTAAGAAGCGCGCTTTTCTCTCACAATTGTTCAATTGTTATATAGTTGTAAAGTACAAAAACAATGAGTCGCGTATCACAAGTTTCTCTTCTGCTATTTTAGAGTAATGTTGTTGGAAAACCATCAGTCTTTATATTTAATTATTGGCAAATTTAGTTTATTAAACATAAAATATGCATTTACTAGATATAGTTTAGTTTTATTGCAATCATAAAATGAATTTTTTGACTATTTTAAAAAAGCTCGTCCTTCTTTCAAGTTGGTCTTAAGGAGCTTAACTTTTGAAGATATTTTATTATGTTCTGACCAATTAGCATTGGTTTCGTAAACTTGTACGTTTTACATGGAATTTATTATAATTATTATTATCTCAATACAATCGTACCTTTTAATAATTTAGAAAACGATGACCGTTGTTGAGTATTTTTTGCATCATCGCTTGTGCGGGCGTAATGATCGTTTATGATATGATCAACTGTATTTATTTGCGGTTTGTCAGGTTTGTGGTAGATAATTATATCACGTAATGCTCCGCTATCGATTATACCAATACCGCGCATAGTAATCTTTATTAATAAAGATAATAAACCGCAGGTTTTAAATACACAGCAATTTGATGCTACTGAAATAAAAGAAAAATTATTCGCTTGAAAGTAGCACAGCTATGCAAGGTCAAACGGCTAAATTACGAGTTGCAAAAAAGATGTTAAATTATTCTCTTAATAAAAAAAGTTTATTAACTCAATACAAACAGTTAACGTTTCGACTGTCTTCTTCAGAATAGATTAATATGTAAGAAGAGAAATATCAAAAGCATAAAGACGTATAAATTAAAATCCTAAAACATTAAACATTCTCTCAACAATATAATTCAGATAAAAAAAACCCAATTAAATCACAAATATAAAAACGCTGGAATAATTGATTGAGAGAAGATTTAATTTATGCATCTTTATGCTTTTGATATTTACTTTCTTTTTTTTCATATTAAATCGTTCTCAAGAAAACTAGCAATAAGTATACAGTCGATACACTAACTGTTTGTATTGATCGTTTAATAAATTGATTGTATTATAATTCAACATTTCTTTTTAGAGCTCGTAATTTGGCCGTTTGATCTTATATTGACACTACTGACTATAAGAAGATACTTCGGTTATTTCGATGTGTTATGTGTGGGTAATATGTCGAAATATGTGCTTATTCACTAGACGCAGCAAGTTACATATCAGTTGCTTAAATATTTATACATAATTTTTATGTATGAAAAAATATTGTTTGTATTTATTTATATATTTTATTTTAATACAAACATATCTCAAAAGCACCGCTTTATTTATTGTCAAACTTACTTGCGCGGAAAGATAGAAAGTTGTATCGTCATTCTCGGCATTTCGATAACAATGTCATAAGGAGTCGTCCTATTGTCGTATTCTGTGCTAATACAGGCGCATCGCTATACCTGTAACAGTCACTTTGACCATTCCCTCGAACGGTTGAATTTTATCGGCTCAATCGTCAGGGTCGCCATTATTTCTATTTAAACACTTGCTCGCTGCGTCACATGTCTCCTGAGTCATTCCATAGCGCGTGTCATTTCGTGATGTTTGAAGACGAGCCTTCGATAGCTTTTTGATTCACCAGAATTTGTTTCTCGTTACGATATACATACCTATATCGTCTGTTACACTATTTTTTAATAAAAAAAACACATACGTAAAAATAATGAAAGAATAAATAAAATTTAATTTTATTTATTGATTGATTTTTTTGATATATAAAAATAATAGTGTGGGAGTGTGGAGAAACTATTTCTATAATCACTTCTAAACATTGAGACATATGACAAAGCAAAAATTTAAATTCTTTGAAATTAACGTGTAGAATTATGATATTGAGTCGCAATAATTCTTATGTGGAACATCGTACAGAATTCTTGAATACAAGCATATCTATGTATACATATGTAAACTTTCTGCTCGAAATATTAATGAACGGAAGATTATTACACGTTGGTATGGCGCGTTGCCATGTTGGGATTCTATATGAGTCACGTGAGTGCGTCTATACAAATGGACCGTTTGCTTTTAATACCGTAATATAATGAGACAAGCTATGGTATCTGGTTTGTTCGGTCCCCATCAAGATGACGAAACTACCGGAACGTCGACGTTCTTTCTTTGTTCATATTCGTTATTTTGTCGATTCGTAACTCGCACAGTTTCACACTGATATTTACCAGTCTTTACCCTCTTGCCAAAAATTCAGTAAATGCTTATTGAAACAATTTTTCATAAAATTTTCGTTGACCTATTGCGCCATTAGTTCCTGCAAACATTTTGAACGAACATGTCAAGATAACAAATATGATATTTTATATAAAGAAGGTGAAGTTCGAAAGATCTTATCGCGTCGAGTCAGGCGATTTCGTACATTCATTTCGTAACTCTTTACGTAAATACGTCGAAAGTGCAAAGTGTCAAGTCGTCCATGCAAGATGTTTTTACAGTTTTGATCAGCTAAAAATTCATAAAAAAACATTTTGCTTTTTATATGAAAATCTTCTTTATTTTTTTATATTGTAAAGTTTTGTTTTCATATTTATAGTAAAAATTATCCATTTATTGTCTACTTCAGTCTACTTGTAATCGAACCGGCTTTGTAAATTAATAATAATTTAATATTTTTTTTGTTCAAATATATTACGTGGACAAAATTTTATATCGCGTTTCTACCGGTTCAGCAAAAAAAGGAAATATACGGTTCTTTAATATTAGAAAGTGAGTAAGCGTAAAAATTGTTCTCTAATCGGAAGCTCATAAACTTAAATAGCCAATAATTTCACGATGACCAATAATTGCACGACTGACCTCAATACTTATTATTCAAAGCTATTTCGAGTTCGAGTTCGAACTTATAAAAGAGGGATAGAATTTTTAAGAAATCGTGATGTATAAATAGTTATCGGAAAAATTTAGAGACGATCGCAATCGTTCTCGTTGTCTACCAAGTTGCCTTCGTCGAAGGCCTGGATTCGCCGTACAGTCGGGTAGTTGTGCCTGCGTCGGGTTCAACGTGACGAGGTCACGGTGCCACACAAAAGTCATGGTTCACGTAAACCGATGTACATTAAATCATCGCCATCGTCGTATCAATAGTATAGTCGTTGCCGTCATCCTTCGCCACATCGCGTTGCCGTCGCCTTCGTTCGCTGAATACATTGGCGCATACATTGGCGCATATACTGGATATAATTTAATTCTTCTGGTTATACCTATATTTTAAAAAGTTGCAACTGAAGCTAACAAAATTTCGAAAAGAAAAATTTATAAGAGATGTGCTATAATTAGTTTGTAGAAATATTCTGGGGACCATATTATCTAATTGTAAGATGACAAAAGATAAATCGTATTTTATTGGGTTATCGATAAAGGAAATAACGGGCTGATCGAGTTATGTGATTCAAGCTGTATATATTGAAGTTATAACTTTGTGTCGATTGCATAATTAACATTGCTCGATAACCGACCACAGTGCATTCTGTTGTCGTCACAGCCTCAATCTTGGGTGAATTTATGATTTTCTTCGCATAGCGAAGCCGTTCGTCCTCTTGATCCTAATAGCTCGCGCGCGATGCAGATTAATTTGTATATTTGATTTAAAATACGGTCAGATTTTAAAAAGGTTTTAAAACAGAACTTTTACTTTGATTTTTGTCAATAATAGGGACTTGAAAGTTACGTGGAGTTTAATATATAGAAAGAAGAAGAATTAAGAAATGAGACGCGGATGCAGTACAAAACTGCACGTTCATGTATATTACATTAAACAATCGCGAAATCGTAGAATATTATTAACGAAATTTTTGCGTAATGTAGTTTGAAATCTTTACGTGATATAGGTAATCAAAACATTTTCTTCTTTTTTTTTTAAATTGTGCTGCCCAAGTTACGGTATTTGTTATTAACAATCGAGTTAAGACTTATTCCATGTACTTAATCTAATTCGATGAAAAAAATAGTCACTAAAAATAGTAATTACAGAATAAACGTATTTTTAATCTGTAGATAAACTGAATGCTAGTTTGGTTACTCTGACATAAACAGTTAGTCTTCTTGTGCTGTGATAATAATTTTTTATTAATAATAAAATTTCTCTCTCGTTAGACAACATCATTAACCCGGACGAAATATATGCACTACTATGTTATTGATCCTTATCATCGTGTACATTTTATCGTCTTCTTCGGTCTGGTAACACTTGCAATTTTGCATGTA